TCGAAGGAAGCTTCCGTCGAGCGTCGCGAAGCTCAAAGGGTGGCCAATGGGCGCGGCGCGGTCAGTAGGGCTAGACGCACAGGAATCTGCAGCGGTCGCTGGGGATCATGTGTTGGTGAGTGATGGCAGGCGGGCAGTGTGTCGGCGCGGTCGAACCAAGGTTCAAGTTCGGCAGGTGCGGGTGGGGCCAAGACTCGCCGGGAGGGCGCGTTCGGTGACTTGTGTTGGGGATGGCAAAACCACTCAGGCAGACCAGCTCAAGAACCGCGGAGAGATTTGAACGTCGCGGAAAATGCCAGAACAGGTGGTACAAGCACGGGCAGATATTGGCAGAGAGCAGCGCGGTGATGCGACGGCGCTGGCTGATCGATATACTGCGAATGGACTAGGACGCGGTTAGGTTTGAGCTTCAGGCAGGTGACGGCGCGAAAACAGGGTGCAGGTGCGCTGCCCTTGACGAGAGCTGAAGACCACGTGAGAGCTGCAACCCAAGGTGCAGTGTCTGCGAGCAGCCGCTGTAAGGGTGACTCGCAGGTGCCAGGCAGGGCAGGACAGATGGAGCGAACGGTTGGGGGAACGAACCTTGGGCGGGTGCAGGCTGTCTAACCAGCGACGGGAGCAGGAGCCCTTGGTGCAAGATATGTATGGGCGGCTGTATGGGCTGTATGTGTGGGCGATTGGCGCGGCGCTGCGTGTGCGGGAGCAAAGACCACTGGGTGCTGCTGCAACTGGGAAGTCGGGTTATGGTGAATTACGAAATGGGAGCGAGGCCCAATCTGATATGCCCTGCAACCCCAGCAGCTGACGGCCCGCGCGGCGGACGTCGACAGTCTTCGTCTAGTGAGCAAATGGTACGCACTGACAATAGCGACAAGCTCCAGGCATTAGAGGCGCTGCAGTGTGATAAAAAGTGGCTCTCCCGCGGCCCTGCACAAGCCGGTGGCTTTTCACTACCTCGAGAGCGCACGGAGCCGAACAGCATTACTTGCATCATGCTGCGAGATAGCGACCACTAGCTTGGATCTCGCTCTCGATATTCCGTCTCCACACCCAAGCCAAGCACCCGAGCGCGCCGGGCCTTGTTCTCTCATGCTCTTTGCATTCTGCGCGAACGCGACACCTGGGTCATCAGCGCTGCCTATCCACAGAGTGTCCACCACTCACAAGTCCGCCTGCTGCTGATTGAGCAGCTCCCGACAAGGCGACCGTGTCAGCAGGCTGCTATCGAATCATTGATTTTAGACCCGTGGGCCTGCAGCCCGCCCAAGACAGACTACGCTGCGGCCTGCATTGGCGGCCGCAGTCGTCATGCATTCGACCTTCTCACTCTATCAATCAACCCGTATCGTCTGACTCCTCCAGCGCCCGTAGCCAATTCCCCCTCAGCCCGCTCATGCTTGCCGCAACAGCCGAATAAGGAAGCCCAACTTTATTGCGCTGCATCCGTCAAAAGCAGTAGTCCTCATCTTGGACGCGCTTCTGCTGCCTGCTCTGCTCCCAGTCCCGCTACTCCGTCGCGACGTCTAAAAATGCTACGCTGATCGCCGACCTTTGCTTGTGCCATTCGTTTTCCTCTAGCATTTCCTAGGCCCTGTTGAGGCTCGTCCACTCGTAGCGCCGTCGGTCTTCGCGGGCCTATGAGCAGCGCTGCAGCTGAACGCTCCAAGCGCATCCATAGCATCGGAATCGCTTCCTACTCTCTCATCTAGTCCAAGCATCCAGTTACAACGCTTGGACGCTTCGATATTCATTCTTCGTTCCGTGTGGGCAGCAGATTCATCGCAGAGTTGGCGATCTGTTCCACCAAGCGACCCGTTCCCCGCCGAACCAACAAGGGCAGAAGAAGTGTCCATGACCCTTGGCCTGCCCGTGCTGTAACCGATCCCCACCATGCTACCTTGCCCGTATCTCACATCCCTTCCGCAGCTCGCGCCACTGCCTTAGCGGGGAGTCGAAACGCCATGTCCGTTCGTCTTTCCTGTCGTAAGCGCTGTCTAACTAACTTTGTCTGTGCGCCGTGTCGTTGACATGCTCTTGAAACTACGCGAGTTCAAGACGTAATCTATCTACACGGAGAACACACTGTGTCCTTCTGTAGCCTTGGATGTCGGCAGCCGCTTCGGCATCTTGGAGTGCGCACGCTTTCGCGTCTCTTTACTGACGCGTTTTCGGGAGGCTGTGCCACATTATTCCATGTCTTAGACCCTGAGGCCAGAGTCTGTCATCTGCCTCTCTCTGCAGGGTCTAAACCGATTTAGAAACGTTTGCCATTCTTTGTTGCTAGAGCCTTCTTGCGTCCGAACTCGGTACTATCCAGTGGGATACGAAGAAACAACACGGGCGATCAGTCTTCCTGAATAGCATGATGTGGACAGAGTGCAATCGCTTATATCCGTTCCCTTTGTAAGTTGGGATTACCACACAAGTGGGATATGCTGTCCTTCTCCTATGAGTCCAACATCTGCTATACATGTCCTGAGTGTGAGGACGAGAATGGCTCCAAGTTCTCTACCTATCCTACCCCTCGTTAGCACCGTACCAACATCTGACGTCCATTATCATGCTACTAAACCCGCTCACCGCTGTCATGACATCTGTACTGCGCTAACTGCAAGGATCGTTGAAACATTCCAATGCAAATTCAAGTATTAGACCTAGTCAATACCTTGGCGGGACACTACGGGCAGGCTAGGATAGCTGCTCGATCATATGACAGCTGTATCCACTGTCCTGGATCCCAGCGTCGGGAGACATCAGACGCCAAAGTGGTCCCACGTTCAAGTTAGATTGAAGATCGCGGCGTACGGCGGTTGTAGCCGTACCGTGATATCGAGGCCATTTGATGTCAAGGCCTCGTTTCAGAAATCCCAGGAAATGGGATGGGTAGGACCACCCACTGGTGAGTGCTTGTTCTTGCAGCCAACTGCGGATATCCCGTAAGCTAACAATGGACATGGCTTCCATTTGGTTTCCCGTCTGAAAGCCATATACAGCGGGTCGTACAACTTTAGCGGTGAAGCACATCTCTTCTTCATCGGCTTTTGGAACACCGAAGTAAAAAAACAAACGTTTCTGCAATACCACGTATACCCGCAGGTCCATTGTGTAAAACTGTAATCAGACGTCCAATTATAGGATGTGTGATCACCCACAGCGAGCTTACTGTTCATGCTTAAGTTTCGCCAGCAATGGCGGATCAACTTCCGAAATGGCCAATTCACGACTTCGAAATCAGGAAGATGATAGGCGCTAGTGGCTTCGGCATATCCCCAAGACTCGCTAGAAAGTAGTTGCGCAATCCACACCCTAGAGACGAACCCCAACCCCTCTGGATCTTCAATCCTGCCGGGCGCTGTAGTTCTATCCATGTCATAGTATTGAGCTAGGCAGACTGCGTTCGAACGGTGAGGCGGTCCACTCCAGAGTGGGGAAGCGTGGCGAGGCTGCATCAACGTTTTAGGTAGTCGCGACCAATCATCAGACCAGATCCAGCATTCGTTCGACAAAGGAAGACGGTCAGGTGCTACCAGTTACGCCGACAGCTTGAAAAGACCAGGGTCGTTATCGTGTTTATCCATCCATGAGCATCAAATGATACTGACAACAACCCGAAGATGAGTCAAGGTAGAACGTGATATCTGTTGAGGTTGCTCAACTCACGCCTACCGCCTTGAGTTAGATAGATACTCAGTGCCGCATTTGAATCGGTGGGACCTAAAGAAGGCCCGCGTATGCATTAGACCATACAGGAAGACAATAGGACTCGCAGAATTGCTGTCTCCACTTACAGTGTTGGGTATGCTGGGTATTTGCAAATGAGAAGTGCGGTGAACAGAGTTCCATTCGTCCATCGAGCTGACTTTTCTCTTCTGTCGTTGGGTGTCATGCAGCCTTGATACCAGGTAGATCTGCCTCGCGAGTAGAGTTCAAGGAAATTCCATGCGATGCAGCCGAAGATAGAATCCCCTCAATGTAGCCAGACCTGGCAGTATGAATTGCTCAGAAATGCATCATACAAAGGCATTGAACTAGAGTAGAGCCGCCCGAAGATATCGGTACCGCGGCATCTTCGGAAGCAAAAGCCCTTAGAGCTCGATGTTTGCTCGGCGACCTTCCATAACCGGCTCTAACAAGCTTCACTTGAAGCGAAGAGCTGCGGCGCTCAAGTAAGCACCTTAGTAGCCTTCCCAGAAAGCAGTGTCATGCCCCATCAAACATGCCTCGATGGAATGAAACCGAAGAGAGGCGAAAACACCAACACCTGCACGCTACTGCGACACTCAATGACAGCAGCTTAGCTGTCTATGCTTCTTGGCCTGCGTGATAAGCCAATCACTGAAGCAGTGTAATAGAATACCGGAATGGTCAGTTTTCCGCAGATGGCAAGCAGATTCAGGTTTTAGCTGAGGCAAATTAAAACTGAAGTGGCTGCGGACTAACGGAGAGATGGGTTCGATTGAGTGCAGAAGCGAGAAAGACGGTGAGGAGATAACGCTGGTGAATCAGATGCTGTTGAAGACGTCCGATCCGGACGTCGAGTAGGCAAAGCGCACAGACGCAAGGCGAAGGCGCTCTTGCCATGTGAGCATCGATAATCGAGCAGGCGCACCTTGTACACCCTGAGCCCGCCTGAGCTTCAATGAATGTCAATTCTTACCCTGAGTGAGTCACGAGTGTTGCCAATAAACCGCCGTGTGAAACCTTAGTACCACAGTTCTCATGTTTGGCGCATCGCGATACGACTGCATCGCTTAATGTGCAACCATGGAAAGAACACTTTTCAACTGAGCTTATCCTTGAGACTCAGCTATCAGTAGTAAGTGCTTCTTTGGTTATGTTAGATTTGCATTATTCAGTATTTTGCATCGGGGCTACCTACACCAACATAAATTTCCCCAAAATGTAGTCATGATGCCCCCAAATAAACGCCGCCAATACGCCGCAAAAGTCGATTCATCGAGGTAATGAAAGCTTTATACACCCGTCCTTTGAAAATGCCACTACCTTCCAGGTGCGAGACCTGGCACTGCACTGAAGCGTTCATCACGCTCAGTCTTGAAGAGGATCTGGCACCAGAATTCCTTGGCGTCCTCATCGAACCAGAACCAGAACTTGCCCTCCCTTCTGTCGATGTCGCGAGACTGCAGCTTAACTGCAACTGTCTCATATGGTTCGCCGGCGACAATGAGGTACTGGTAATTTGGGTCGGGCTCCTCCACCTTCTGCTCGTATGCGCTCATGACACGGACCTTGGGGGTAATGCCAGGTGTGAGGTCCGGAAACTGGAACTGGAATAGCAACCCGTTCTGACGTGTATTCGGATCGCGTACTTTCGTAATGCGGTATCCTGGCCGACCGATCTTGATGACGTTCTTCTTGGGCAGCACACCAGCGAGAAGTCCTTGCTGGCCCACGTCGTCCCTCTTGCCTTCTCTCTGCTCTTTCGCCGCACGACGTGCCAAGTTTGTCTGATGCTTCCTTCCTTGTGTATGCGCGAGGTATGAACCATCGTTCTGGTGGACTGTCAAACAGAGACGGCACTCGAAGCTGCCGACGTGGTTTTTGAAGAAGTACGGGTCCTTATCGAGGTCGATGGTCTCGAGCGCGAGCTTTCGGAGGCGCTCTCGTCGGTCGGCATTCGTCGCAGACTGTGACGCGACACCTCCGCCACCGAATTTGGAGCCTGCGCGATTCTGTAGATGTTAGTCGCTGTTCTTGACTTTCGCGACCAGAGACGTACCTGGTAATCCATCTTAGATAACCTTCACGATCTGCTATATCAATCTTGCTCGCGATTCGACAGAAGTAAGATTGGTCTTTACGTAGGTTGTGATAGCGCGTGGGGTGTTGTAAAAGTAGGCAAGTTGCGGTGATGTCGCGCGACAAGACTTCTGGAGGCGTGCGACGCTAGTGCTCTGCATACACGATCCCTGTCATTTCGATATCACGTGCACGGTTGCCTTCACACATTCACCCCCAGAGTTTACTCTTACCTGTTATATCGGATCGAATAAGAATTCATCATGGCAACCGAGATTTACATTGGAAAACGCCTCTCCTTCGATGCCCACCTCTGCACCGTCCGCTACCACGGCACCGTCCAAGGAACAAAAGGCGAATGGCTAGGCGTAGAATGGGACGAACCCACCCGAGGGAAACACTCCGGTGAACACCAAGGCACACGATACTTTACATGCTTGAACCCCTCCCCAACATCCGCATCCTTCATCCGACCAACTCGCAAGCCAGACCCTCCACGCACCTTTGTCCAAGCGCTCAAATCAAAGTATGCATCAGAAGCTGTAGCAGAAGACTTTCAAGATCCAGATGTACATGTTGTTTTCAATCATCAACCTCCACAACCGAAACCTGTGCACTTCAATGGAAAACCAGCTGAGGAGATTGGGTTCGACAAGATTCGGAGACAGTTGGCTCAGCTCTCGGAGTTGAAGATCATCATCCTGGATGGATTATGTATGCATCGGCCTGAAGCACGTCAAGAGGAATGGTTAAGAGGAGGAGAGAAGAAGGACGTCAAGGAGGCATGTCCAAAAGCCATCGAGCTTGATCTGAGTAGAAATCTATTTGAAGAGTGGAGGGAAGTAGCTGCGATTTGTGAGCAGCTACCCGGGTTGAGAAGCTTGAGGGTCGAGTAAGTGATCCACAATCTCAGTCCCATCTTGTGTATGCTGATGGAAGTGTAGTGGCGTACGACTTCGCGATACCTCCGTATCAGAAGAAGAGCGAAACCGCTGTCTCCAAGCCTTCAAAGGCATCACCTCTCTAAAACTAGAAGACAACCTCCTACCTTGGGCCGATCTCGCCCTCCTAACCCACCTCTTCCCCTCCGTCACCACATTCTCCGCCTCCAGCAACCTCTATACTAGCCTCACTCAACATACTCTCAACCCCACCATCACCGATCTAACACTAGAAGATAACCATCTCACTTCTCTCTCGTCCCTGGCATGTCTAACGACGCTTCCCAATCTGCATCGCCTAATCCTCAAATCGAATAGAATCTCCGAGATAACCACATCAGACGCATCGATACCTGTCTTTTCGAACACAGTCCGAGAAGTCGATCTTTCGTTCAATGAACTCTCAACATGGGCTTTCATTGAGCAGCTCATAAATGTCTTTCCTGGTCTGCAGAGTCTACGTGTATCACAGAATCCGCTTTACCAATCCTTGCAAGCACCTGATGGACGAAGCTTGACGGCAGACGACGGATACATGCTCACGCTAGCGCGACTGGGGCAGCTCAAGACGCTGAATCACAGTCCTATAAACGAGAAAGAGCGATTGAACGCAGAATCGTATTATCTTTCCATGATCGCCAAGGAAGTGCAGTTTGCGCCTGAGAACCTGCGAGAGCAAATACTGAAGAGCCATCCACGGTACGAGTGGTTGTGTGAAGAGTACGGCGAGCCGGATGTTCAGCGTTCTGCTAATGCTGTGAATCCGAACTCGCTTGCTGCTCGGTTGCTTCGCATCAAGTTCTATCTCGCGGCAGCTACGGATACGGCTTTCGAGACGGAAATCCCCATGAGTAGTACAGCGTACACGGTTCTTGGTATTGTCGGGAAGCACTTCGGCATCAAGCCGATGAAGTGCAAACTGATCTGGGAGACAGGCGACTGGATGTCGGTTCGGAAATCAGCAACGGATATTGTAGACGACGACTGGGACTCTGAGGATAGCGAGGTGGAGATGGGTATGGAGCGGATCATGAGGGAGGTGGAAGTTGTACCCGGCACGAGGTCAATTGGGACATGGATTGACGGGTCGGAGGCTACTGTGAGGGTCGAAGTCAAGTCGTGACAACCGAATGCCCGCAAATGTTCCCACATATTGAAGGGCCGTGTGTGACTTCGTTCAGAGTCCATTCAGCGGAACCACCAGTTGACCTAGACAGCGGTTAATAGACATACTCAGACCAGATCATATGCTGCACCTACCGAAGCATTTGCGCCCTTGCCAACACCCCTAATTGCATGCCACCACCCATAGGGAATATACAGCGCATCTCCGCTGCTCAGCGTTGTTTCTACGCCGGTCACGCCAGCCATGTCTTCCTCGACGTCGTTATTCCAGACCGCATTTTCCAAGCCCTCCATCTCTCCACCTTGCATCATCTCCTCTCCCCTTATATTCGCGTCTCCGCCAGCCCCGTGTACTTTCTGCCTTACGTTCTCGTATACCATCCTACCCACCTCAGGCTGCATCAGCCTAACTGTTTTCTTGCCTGCCAGTTGCACGAAGAGGTTCGGGTTCGGATCGCGATGTAGCGGGGTGCGAGTAGGCGGTCTACCCATCCAGAGACTTGAGGCGTAAATATCGCCACGAGCGTTGAGATGCGATAGGAAGAACGACGGCGTAGGTAAGTCTTCTTGTAGCGGTGCTGGAAGATCGGCCAGCGAGTGTTGCGCGAGGTACAAACTAGTGTCTTGCGTCTCAGCAGCACTTATATGCTGTAGTAGGAGAGATAGAGGCGCCTCGAAGCGCTCAAACGTTTCATTTCGAGAGTTGCTATTAGCGGAAGCGCGCGTTAGTTCCAATGGCACGATTGCATCACCAAACTGCTCAAGATATGCTGTATTCAGCTCTTGAGGATATCTGGACGTGTCATGGAGCTCATCACGTTCCGTCTCGTGTTTCTGGTATTTCTCATTCGTAAGCCCCTCTTGTGTTTTGCGAAGTTTCTGAAACCATTTTCCGACTGCGGGTATGTCCAGGAAAGCTTCTTTGAAGACGGCGGGATAGTCGGAGTCGAAATTGGTTATGCTAAGCTGCTTCTTCTTGTCCAGGTATTCTTTGTGTCCTAAGAGATGGAAGCGCCTGTCAAGTACCAGCCGTGAATCGGGCCTGCGAATCCAATGGCGAGGAACACCGGGCGCCTTCTTCAGCATGGAGGATTGAACTATGGTGAGGTATGACAGGTTGCGTTGATGCAGCTCACTCAGGAGCTTGACACGCTCTCACGTTACCGTACCCCACACGAGCAGCTCGCCCGCCCCGCCAAAACCTTCCCGTCCTAAAGTTTACATCGTCACAAACACCCAGAAGCTCTACATCAGCCCACGCGTCACCAAAATGGCACAAGCTCAAGGCGCACAGCCTGGTCAAAGTAGATGGTCCCCAAACGCCAACTCCGTCGCGCATTACGCTAATCCTGTCTCGCAGTCGAAATCACATCCCTCCCCGTTCCCCGCCTCCAAGAACTAAAAACCCAACTCGACGCCGAGCTCACCCACCTTTCAAACTCGTTCCAATCGCTGCGCACTGCACAATCCAAGTTCCGCGACTGCCTGACCTCCATCTCAACGGGTCTCACGCCATCTACCGTCTCGAAACCGCTTCTGGTTCCCTTGACATCTTCATTATACGTACCGGGGAAACTTACGGACCACGAACATGTGCTGGTGGATGTAGGTACGGGTTTCTTCGTCGAGAAGGATATTGCTAGTGCAAAAGACTTCTATGAGCGCAAGGTCAAGGATCTGGGCGACAGCTTGAAGGACTTGGAGGGTGTTGTGCAGGGCAAGGCGCAGAATGTCAGAGTTGTAGAGGAGGTTATTAGGCTCAAGGTTATGAACGCACAGGAGGGCAAGGGCGAGGAGCAAGGCAGCTGAAGTTTTGAAAGGTATTGAAAACTTAGCATGTGAGAGGACCCCGATCAGTCCCGAACAAGCCGCGTGGGCATGGATAGAAGTAGATCTGGAGAACCAGACACATCTTCGCAAGTAGAGAACAGATATTCACAACAAGAGATTGAAGCCATGTATTCATGGTATTGGTATAGCTCTATAGGAGAATGGACTCCTAGACCGAGTGCCCGATCAAATCACCTTAGATATCTTTGGGCTATCGAATATCAAGAAGACATGCAACCATATCGTATGCACAATCGGCGTACGGATCCATCGTTTCTGCGTTCTTTAGATAGAGACGCCTCCCATGTCCGTAACTGCGCTGACAGTAGCCGAGAGCTGGAGCAACTTGTCCATGAGGATGCGAATTCCATCGTGTAGCGGTGCCTCGACGCCGATACCCAGGTTGAGGTTCCTCATTCCGAAGTCTTCGTCCTCGACGGCACTAGAGTAACAAGACTGACCGTCGTCTGGCAGGAATGTAGCGATGGTATCGCCCCAGTCAGCTTTGCGACCAATGGGCAGACGCTCAAGCTCGGCGAGGTGAGTTGCCCATTCCGGGTGACGAACAGAAAGACCCCAGACAGGAAGCTTCTGTCCCGGATACCACATGCCCATAACCTCGACTTTGTAGCATGTCTGCTTGATGCCAAAAGAGTAGATGGTATCTAGACGGCCTGTCCGTAGATACTTCTTGACAGTCGGTGTCTGTTCCCACTCGGCGAAGCTTTCACTGGAACGATGATCATGATCGGGCCTCATCTTAACTCGCTCAGCGAACCCAGTTATCACAGGCGAAATGCTTTTCGATGCCACGGGAATCAGCGACTCAAGCGCAAAGTGCCACCCTCGGCTCTCTCCTAGCTCAAGCAGGTTGATATCCATGTTCTTCCTTGGGCCTGATTTACCCTGTTCTGTCCTGTAAAATCGGGTAGTGGTCTTCTCATACAACCCCTCTTCGTCGTCCGCCCAATCAACTTGAACCACGATAAGGCTGGACTGTACCTTTGGTGCTGGTGTTGAATCCGCGGTACTAACAGGCTTTTGGTTGAACGGTTTGGGCCGCCCAGAATGATGGATAGCCGTAGCTTGAGGCGGAGCAGTGACAGTGTTTGGGTCTGCGAACACCCATGTTCCTCGGAACATAGGGCGGGTTCCCTGCAGAGATTTAGGCATGTAGCCGAAGTAATTAGAAGACTTTGTAGGTTCAAGGAATTCATCAGCCGTGTAGAATGATCCTAAAATCTGGCGGCCCAGTACGTCGTCGGCAAGCCTTTTCTGTTAGCCACCATAATCATTACTTTTAGAAGGAGTCCAAACTTACCACTTCTTTGCTTCAAGGCCAACCGATCCATCGATCGACTTCAAGAAAACCTCCTTCATGTACTTGTTGCCAATCTTGTCTTCCTTAATTTGTCTCGAGTTCAGCGCCAGGCACCCTAGACGGATGGTCATATCGTAAGCACCTTTCTTGTGACGCACGGCGTCAAGAGCCAGCTGAACCGAACGCTGGATCTTGGAGAGCTGTGTAAAGTGCATGATATCACCGCGAAAACTTCCAGGTGGTTCCATCATACCACTAGGAAGGAGGCGGGGTACGATTCGGTCTTGTCTAAAGTCAAGCATATGAAGTTAGTGTACGTCTCACATGCAGTTCATGCAAGCAGTTTACGCACAGGTTCGGCCACCACGCGTCAGCCTCCTCCAGCTCGACCTCCATCCCCTCTTGGTCGTCAAGAATCATGTTTAGCGTATGCTGTAGCCCCATCGTTTCAGCCTTGACTTTGTCGATCATCGTCTTGAGATGCGCTTCGGCCGCTTCTATGTTCGCCACGTCTACGGCTGCAAAGATGAGGATAGGATGTCAGTGAAGGTCTAATATAAATCTTATGAACGCAAAACCTACCTTGTATCTTAATCTGCCAGACGTCGCCCTGGGTAGAGAGAAGCGAAATGAAAACTTCATCGTGAGTCCGGATAGCATCAAGCGCTTCCAACTTGTTATCGAAGACGTCGCGGGGGGTGATGCTCTGATTGATGAGATCCTCTGGCCAATGCATGATGAGGCTTTGTAGCGGTATTTCACCTTCTGACACCTTAGGCGCTGCCCCCCTGAACACTTCCTTGCGCTCACGCTCCATCTCTTCGATTTGCTCGTAGTACCACTTGTTCGGGTCGAAAGCTGGCATCCTTGCCCACGCCGAGGAATCCTTCGACTTGACGTGCGCATTGGCAATCCACTGATTGATATACCGCACGGCCTTTTCCAGTCCTGCACCTCCTCCTGCGATGCCAAACTGGTAAATCCTGCCATTCTCACACTGTGGAATGACTACACAACCAGTACTGACCTTGACATCGTTAACGACGATTTCGCGCTCTCTGGCATGAGTGAGGCGACGGAACTCTTGAGGTACCGGTATGATCTTGTTTGGCTTTGGCCTAGGAACAGGGCCGGTGTCGCCTGCATCCATGTGTATTGTTTCCTCGCTGTGCAGAATATTTGAAGCGGTCTCGAAGTAGTGGCGTCGGGGAGAGGAGTGTTTTGGCAGTGTTGTGGTGCTCATTGCTACAGGGATAGGTCGAGGTGACCCCAGGTTGGAAGGAGCAAACGCGCAGTGATGCTCATACACACCCGCACCTAACGCAAGTACAGTCAATCGGCAAAATCAAGCTTGAGAGCGCAATTATTCCATCATTAAAGAAGAGATTATGTGCAGTGAGGTATGAAACTCGTTGCTCAGTCAAGGAGTAAAGCAGAGGTAGTAACCAGGTCTGTGTGGCCTGAACGTGCAGTGAGTGGAAAGAGAGGATGTGGAAGGTTGACGATGTGGAGATCCAGGTATCCTCTCAACATAAGTGAAAGAGAATATCTATTACATGAGGACACTGTTGTCTGAGGCGGCATTCCACGCGAGCAAACTGCTTCTCTCACCTAATGGAGGGCGTTGACCATATGGACGTCACCAGCAATACCAGATATGTTCCAGTATCGTACATATCGATCGGAAATGCGCAAATATGACAAACTTGTTCAATGATGGGCAGGCCTTCTGACGCAGTTGAGATTCTTCGAGCGGGCTGTTGGTTGGCCCACACAAGCGGCGAGGTTTGCTGAGCATCACGCGAAGAGATCACGTATATCGCCTACACGAAAGATTATAATCTAAGATGAGAGGGACATGGATGGGATACACAAGGTGTCAAACTAGAATGGCAAAGAGTCTTTGTGTATTGCCACAGGACACAGAGGTTGGAAATAGGCTTGGCGGACCTCGGTGTTAGGCGGAGCGGCCTCCGATCCATTTTCTGAGCATCACCAAAGTCACCACTAGAAGTTGATACATGCGGCATCGTCGCGCATCACACACCCCGAAGCCGCCGTAACCATCACTTGTGCGCCGATTAATCTCCTAGGTCGCACCTCATCAACATCACCGGGCTGCATCGCAATTCGTCACCATGGACGCTGTACCCATCACAAAAAAGTTGATAGCCTTCGGTAGCAAGAAGATATATCTGTAGGTCACTGCAATGCATCGTTCACGCTTAGGACTTACACAATTCAGCCCCAAATTCACAGTCGCGCTCCTTCGTACACCAGACCTCTCCCCGTACCATGCCCGCTTCCTCGTCCCGCTCGACTTCTCAAAGTACGACCTCCGCGATTACCTCTACCACGCCTACAATGTCAAATGCTTCAACATCAGATCATACGTAAAGCAAATGCCGGTACGGGATACTCGCGAACAACCACGGCACTGGTTCCGCGCTGAGTCGAAAAAATACATGACAATAGAGTTGGAGCAGCCATTCGTCTGGCCTGAGGTGCCCGACCTAGAGCCATGGGGCCAGAAGGAGAAGCAAAAGGAGGTTGAAGAAGCTGCCAAGGTCAATGGAGCTGGAGACAGCAACGATGCGAGGAATGCGGCCAGGACGTTACGAGAACAGGTAAAGAAGTTACTCGACAAGAAAGTCTCGCGGCCGGATCCCGAAATACAGAGGAAGAAGGCTATGTCTATAGAACTTACAGCAGAAGAGTTGGAGATAGAGAAGCTCAGAGAGCAGGAAGAAGCAAACCTACAGCGCATGTCAAGACTGAAGCTGTGGGCGAAGGAGAGGACAGGGAAGGTCGTGGAAAGCGACAAGCCTAGGCGATATGCGATCAAGGTTTGAGGTTGATCTTGCGCTGTGTATATATGCTTGTATCATATGCCCCGGGACGGAGCAGGAGATCATCAATACATTGTAACATATGGAAGCTGACTGCAGCCTGTGTTGCTTCCAGTAACGCGATGTTGTATGCTCAACAATGCAGACGTACTGGATTGCGAATGGCAGAGGTGTAACAGAAGCATCGTCCGGTCCTAAACTAGTCGTCCCATTTACACTTCTTGTCTTTGTTTTCACACCTGCACACTATTGGTGTTCAAAGAGTCAGCCTTGCTGCAGGCTGAAAGTGGTGGCGGATTGCATGGCCTGCAGCTGTAGCACTGCGTATGAGCTGGCGACTTTCGCAACCGAGCTGCAATTACAATGCCGTTTATTGCTACTTCCATCTTTCCGACATTCTCTTGGGCTGGGTTCCTGTATTGCTCCACTCATATGTCATCCAACGTTGAACATCTAGGACCACGACAGTATCGGATCGAGTCGACCAAGGTTGCGTAGCTGCATCAATTTATATTCAGGGAGATCAAATCATCTGTAGCTCATTTCGGGCAACTGGTGAACGAAATCTTGTACGTTTGACCTCTCTGTATAGGACAGTAGAGCTTCAGACCAACTGTTCATAGTACAGTACCTCAACACATCAAATTTACACCATTGTTCTTGAGATCCGAGACTCAAGATCAGCATTGGACACTCGTTGTACTTATTTCTAAGACTTCTTCGTCGTCGAAGATGCTCTCGGTCGTAAATTTCCGGTCGCATCGGAGTTCGAAATAATCTGTACAATCAGCATATGGTGTATTTGGTGCTGATGATGATTGTACAGTTCTCTGTGTAACATCTGGTTCGATCAAAGTACCGCAGTCTACAACAGCGTCCGGGTTTAGCTCTGGACGACTGCTTTCCCTGCTCGCAAGGTTCGCCTGGTTTCAGGCCAAGAGAAAAGGACAAAGAAACGCTCCAGGAGTTTCGAGGAATGGTGCGATTACTCAAAAACGTTACTATGGTGCGTTACTCCTCTCCCCTAGTAAAGTAAGGCTACATCTTGAATGATTCAGCACCCAATATGATATGTTGGGCATTTCGCTGTTCGCACAAGAGGCACAGATAGAAAGTCAGGGAGTAAACTAGTGGTGGCAGGCTAGAGAAACTATGGTGGAGCGATGAGGATGTGACGAAAGGTTTGACATGAAGAAACCGAGATATGTACAGTCTAGTACATGTTCCACGATGATGTAGAAATGATCAGTTCGAATATTGCACAAAAGGTCTAGGAGATGTTGCTGCTGCTATAGGACTGCGATGCAGCAACCATGCCCAAAGATACCCCTATCGGCATGCGCCACAGTTTTCAGCGGGCAAACACGTTCGCGTCTTGAACACATATCGTCATTGACTAAGTGAAATGCAAAGCGAACAACCAAGGAAGAAAAGCATGGAGTTGGGCATCTTTTTGACGATTGTCAGGTACTACCCGGTTCTTCCAGGGTTGGGGCCAATGCCAAAGTGTCAGCGCACACATTGACAGGTGTATCCTCGCATGTTCGCTGGAGTTCCATGTGCCTACGACGGATATCGGCCAATGACAGATGACTCACGTGGCGTTCTGTACATAGCACCCCTACACACAATGGCACCGGGCTTCGTCATTAAGCGCTGGATACTGCCGAGTTGGCAAGGTGCAGCACAGAAACTTGGAAAGATGGCTTAGAAGCAGCGAGACATGTGAAGTTGAAGAGTGCAGCCATGCTCATGGGAGCATATGCAATAGCTGTTCCAAAGACGTTGCCGCAACGTAAGATGGACGAAAGTGAGGCACCGGTCAAGGCTCGGAGGCGACCGGAGAGGGGCTATGGCGAGCAACATGTTCGCAGCGAAAGAGGCATCAAGTCGTCCGTCGGTGAGGGATGCGGGTCACAAAAGCTGCGCAAATCAGTTGACCTAAACCTCGTTTGAGACTGTCTTCTCGTTGGGCGCAGCAGCTGGTACGAGAAGATTCAGCCGTGGCTGTGGGCAACCCAACCATGACATCATACCACGCTCTGTGCACTAAAGACGGCTGCCCACCCCAGCCTCAAGCAAACGGTAATATCTACGCCACCCCACCTGCACCGAGATAGATCCTTGGGGCCCAAGCCAAACGGACAGTCATCAGCCCTGGACCTTCCGAGCCTACCAGCCTGTTAAATACCACTGCCTGCCTGTGCCCTGCGACGCTCGACACCCCATTCCCCTACCCACCTTGTCCCGTCACTTCGCAGGCACCTTATTCTTCGTTGCGACAGCCCTCCAAGCAATCAACTTGTGCCAGTAGCCAAGTAAACTCCGTCTGACTAAAGAGACTATTTGGTATGGTTGATGCGCCGCCTGCCTCTTCCCCTCGTGCGCCCACTAACCAAGCTTTGCACAGAGTACCGGACCGGATACGACCCTTGCTGCAGCAGGACCCTTGAGAACCAACTTCGCCCACGGCGGGTATAGAGCACCACCACCACCACCATGTCTGAGTACAGCTATGCACCGCGGCACCGTACGCGGGAGCCAGAGTACGTCACCGAGACCACGTACATTGAGCGCGGTGGTCGCGGAGGCGGGGTACGAGATCTCGTCTACCGCCCCGCGCGCGAGGACAGCATCGAAGAAATCCCCCGCGACTTCCCTCCTGGTGCCGAGTATAGGCAAACCAAGTACCGCGAGGAGTATGCGCCTCCTCGCCGCACCCGCTCAGTGAACCGTGGCTACGACGACGACTACTATGACCGCCCCCGCCGACGTGACCGCGACTATGATGACCGCTCCGAGTACTCGGAGCGCCCCAATATGCAGCGCCGCAAGTCCATCGTCGACAAAGTCAAAGACTTCGGCGAGTCAGCAGGCCTAGGAGGCATCATTGGCGCAGTCACCGGTGGCGGTCGCGACCGATCACGCTCCCGCCCTCGTCGTGACGACCGTGGCTATGATAGCGACAGATACGGATACTACGATGACCGCGACCGCCGAAGCAGCCGATATGGCTCGCGTTCGCGCAGCCGCAGCCGGGGAGGACGCAAGTCTGAGAAGTGGGAGCAAGCCGCCAAAGCCGCCATCGTCGCCGGTGCCGTTGAAGCCTTCCGCAGCCGCAAAGAAGCCGGTCCATGGACTGGTGCTAAGGGCCAACGTGTCGCAACTGCCGCTCTCGGTGCTGCCGGTATCGACGGTCTCATCGACAGAGACCCTGGCAAGCACGAGAAGAGACATGTCGCCGAGTCTGCCTTGGGCGGTCTCGTTGCTTCTCGCCTAGCCAACGGCTCCCGCTCGCGTTCCCGTGCTCCTCGTGGCCGTGACGACTCCAGGTCTCGCTCCCGTTCTCGTGCCAGGTCCAGGTCCAGGTCTATCTTCGGGCGCTCTCGCTCTCGTGGCCGCTCCCGCTCTCACTCCAGTGAGGGAGGAAACAACGGTCTCGCCAAGGTAGCGGGTACCGGTGCTGTGCTTGCAGCAGGCAAGGCTCTATACGACCGTGTGCGCTCCAAGTCTCGTTCCCGGCGCGAGCGATCCCGCTCTTCCAGCGCCGACAGCTATGTGCCATCACGTAGAGGCAACCGCCGCTCGTACAGCCGAGGCCGCGGTATGGACGACCAGTATTCCGAAGCCCCTTCCAGGACTAACCCAGATCGCAGACTAGCCGCCGCCGGCGGGGCAGGCGCAGGTGCTCTAGCAGCACAGGGTGGAGGAGCAGATCGGGGCCGACGGGACTCTAGCAGTGATTCCGAATCGTCCACCGATATGGAGGAGAAGCGCAAGAAGCTACGAGGTAAGGAACTCCTCACTGCGGGTCTAGCCACTGTGGCCACCATCCATGCGGCGCACGGAGTCTACTCTTCCATGGTTGCCTCGGAAAACCGCCGCAAGCTTGTTGGCGAGGGCGAAATGTCTCCCGAAGAAGCGCGCAAACGCAAATCCAAAAATATGCTTCAAGACGCTGCCGCTGTGGGTATCGCCGCTCTCGGTATCAAATCAGCCTACTCTGAATGGAAAGAGATGAACGAGCAGCGCCACAGCGTCAAGGAGCTTGAGACGCGCCGCCGCAAGAGGAGAAAGCAACGTGAACGACGCGAAAAAGAAGCCCGTCAAAACGCCTTGGGAGGCAACATGAATGGAGCAGTCGCTAATCCGTACGCATATCCTGTAGCAGCCAGCCAGCCTTACCCTACGTCCTATGCGGATGCGAATCCCTACGGTAGCTCGGTACCGCCACCACCTATGGGTGCGAGGTATTAGATGCTTACCTGACTATCATCTTTGTTTTCTTTGGTTTTCCTCGAAATGGCCCTTTGGTTAATGGTACTGTCGCGGTTGTTTAGAAGTATTGTTAAATACCTTTTCCTTTCAAGAGGCTTGGAGAAGCAAGGAGGTGAATGTCATTGTTCTTCTTTCTAGCAACTTCATTCTTTTACCCGCTTTGGTCTTTTGGGGTTTTGATGAATGATGATCACGGTAGCGAACGGATGGATGGCATCTTCTTGGTCTTGGGGAAGAGAAGAAGAAGCATATTGGGTTAATGCGACATTGGGTCCTCTGGCTCCAAAACGAATGATTCACGACACGACTTATGAACTCAGGATAGATATGAAATGCAAAAACGGTCTTCTTACATCAGACTTTTTATATCCTTGTTTTGTATTCTGTGATGTACTGTTGAGGAAGGACTGGACTTGACAGATACTCCGACATGAAACCCAATGTTTAATCGTCATGGCAGCCATGCCAGACAACTACCGTGTGATTGGTAAGTCGTTCACTTTTTATCATATCGCACTGTGGACCGTCGGAACATTGGCACCAAGCATTGTTTTATTTTATTTGAACTAGAATTTTGATTTGGAAATTAGCTCAACTTCCATCCCTCAAATGCCATAGTGAAGTGACTATGTGATACGTGATTCCAGGTTTAACAAAGCAAAAGAAAGATCCAGGCATCCATGCCAAAGAAAAGGCCCAAACACCGCGGGTATATAGTTATGTGCAATCCGTTGAGTGCCAGGGTATGAGAGAGAGAGAAGTTAAATAGATGGTCAAAAGATGTGAAATGCAAATATGGGGTTTTGAATGGACTTCCGCAACGCCTCCTCACCAGGATCATGTGTTCTCAGTGACTTTCATCGTCGCTGCCGTCATCCTCCAGGTCAGGTTCATCAATCGCCCATAAGATGAAAGGGCCGTTGTACTCCAGCTATGGATCGTTAGTATACGTCAAAGGGTCGTCCTCACGGGATCGCTTACGCTAGGATGACCCTGCTCCGAGGCAAACCACCATCGACCCAGGATGATCCGACCACCAGGCAAAACAACGCCCTCATATGCCCAAAGGTTATCCTCGTTTGGATGATCGTAGTCTTGTGTGAAGTGCTTCATGAAGGTTATGCGCTGCCAACCAGGGATGCCACCTTGTGGGGGCAGTGTGTTAAGCCATCCCAGAGCCATGTATTTGTCCTCAAGGTCCTCACCCTTGCCCTCGAACTGAATGCTGGATGTGGTGGGTTTAGCGGCACTTCGACCCTGGGTCTTGATACCTTGCTCTGTGGTGTCGTTCTCGAGCGAGTGAAGACGGTCTTCAAAAACGGGTGGCCATGGCAGCTGGCGGCCATCGGTTAGGACGCTGTCTTGTGCGAAAGCGAGCTCAAGGGACTGTATATGATTAATAGATGTAGGCATAGCTTGGAAGATTTCAACCATCGTACCTGGATCTTGCCTTCATCGACATTCTTGTCAATGTACACTTGCTTTCCTGGTCCTTGTCGTCGCAGCTTCTGAACTTCAGAGTTGTCAAGGAAAGAGTATGTGCCCTTCCAATATCTACTCAGTGGTTGAGCTCCATTTTCAAGCTGTTCTCGCCAGGCTGAAGGCTTCTGGGTGGCGTCTAGCTCTTCGATCTTGTCGAAGAGTGTCCGGGCATTTTTGTTCATCATGTGGTGGCGGAAGAAGTTCATGGCGTGTAGCATCCACCCGAGATTCAACTTCGTATGATCTTTGGTGAAGAGCGGAGCAGCAGCGGCAGAGAGGTAGACAGCGTGCTGTGACTCCTCAAAAGCAAAGACGTTGTGTTCCAAGCCTTCGAGGTTGAAGACAAACTGAGAGCACACGAGCTTCACAGCGGCAAGTCCGTCGTTGATGTGCATCAACACGGCGGGTGGGGCGTTAGGGGCACGTCGGTCGTTGTTGAGGAGACGGGATTTGAGAATGAAGTTCAGGATGTGGGCGTAATTCTTGCAGCGAAGACGGCCATGTTCATCAACCTGGGTAGCCCCCTGGAATGATTCTGTATCGTTTCAGCACATGAAATGTCTATTTGGGATCTGGGGGGGCTCCAAGCTTTGTGGTTAAACCTACCGACTATCATGTCTTTGAGCATGTTCACTACCTGCCTCTCCCCCTGACGATCACCATGGAAGAAGGGATAATTGATGCCGCGTCTGAGCTGCTTCGAGCGACGCTGATAGATGCGTCGCAACTGAAGGTTGGTAAGGCAATCCTTGAAGTCATACTTCTCGCGGTACTTGGCGCGCCAGAAGGAAAGCCTGTCGGCGTCGATGGCATCGTTGGTAGCGTGGCAAACTAAGCGATATATCGCGATGTCCTTGTCATCTTCGAGCTCGTGGCCGATGGCCTTGTTGAGCTGTCACTAATTGTCAGTATTTGTACGTCCATCTATGTATCCTGAAGGTACATACTTCTATAGGTAGAGAGTTGAATGCCGTCGCAGTCGATGGACCCTGGAGGCGAGACATGTTGATGTGGAAGACTGGTGTGAGATCAATCGGACGAACTAGTCGAGGAATTGGTACGATCGAGGAAGCGGGTTGGTTGAAGAAGAAGGACTGGTAGTATGTGAGGATGACATGAGGCCGAGAGAGCACCCACACTAACCGCGAGTAAAGGTACGCTCCTATTGTGTGATACGAAGTGAGGGTGACGAGGGTCCGGCTGGTCGTAGACGGCCGTCGCAAAACGATGTGAAGGTGGAATGCTGCCTATTATCACCAACTGGGTAGCACTGCGTTCCGACTCTGGCGGCTGTTTCAGGCTATACGAACACTCGAAGCTCCGCGGATCAAGTTAGGAGAAAGTGGTCTGGATGTGATAGAATAGTATGCTCCAGTTGTTCCTGACGGGATTGCTGAGAGTGGCGGTGACGAAGATTAGCAAACGATATTGCTTTACCAGCATGCGTTTGCAGAAGAAGGCAAACGTTCCAACGAGGTGTTGTATTGACGTGAGATGCGAAGGCTACAAGACGGCTCCAATATAGGAAGCATGGCTGAGGACAGCATGATGAGAACATGAGGTCGAAGACGTCGAGGATGATTGTGGTCGCCATTACTCTTCTTCCACATGGCTTCGAGGGAAGGTACAGCCAATGACGCACAACCCAATTTGAAGGTCGACAAATGATATGCACACATCTTGTTTGGTTTCCTATATAATGTTAGAAATACTGATAGAAATGCTTAAAAGGGTTGGATGCAATTGTACCACTATGTGCATACAGTACATGACTACATAATCAAGGTACCTAACATTGCATATTTTGATAACTGTACTGCTCTTCCTCATCCTTATCTTTAAAGCAACGCGCCGACTATAGCTGCACCGACAGCCCAATAGCCTCCGCTCCCAACACCCCACCTCATCGCAGCACCAGTTGTCGCACTCGGCTCAGGCGCACTTCCAGATGCCATAGGGCTCGCACCCTCCCCATCACTCGTTGTTTTGCTCACATCCGCAACACCACTACCATCCTCTCTCGTAACGACGAAGATCTCGCCCGTTGAATCTGAACTCATAAACAAGCGACCCTGAGCATCCCACGCAAGACCGACGGGTCGGAAGCAAGAGCCAGGACAAGCAGAGAGATCGGGATTAGAGACGATATCGGTGGCGGCAGTGGTACTGTTTGCAGGCGCCACAGGCGAGCCGTTGCCGTCAAACTGCACGAGGCTGAGCTTGTAGCCGATGGGCTCTTCGCGATTCCATGAGCCATGCATCGTTACCCATGCAGCAGTGCCGTTGGGGTTAAACTTGATATCGAGGGGAGCCATATGAGCATCGAACGTGATCCTAGGGGCAATGCGGTCGTTCTCGCAGAAAGTATCGTTGACAGTTGCGTTCTGATCACCAATAGCGAACTGCTGGCCTGTCATTCCACCAAAGTCTGGTATCTCAGATACGTTCCATGCCGTGAAGCATGAGGGATAGCCGTAGTTGCCACCTTGTACGCTGCTCTCGGTTCCATTGAGGTAACCGTGAAAGTTCAGCTCCTCACCTGGATTGTTCTGGTTGATAGTCTGTCCACTTCGCGGGATGTTGTCGACGCTGTTCTCGACAGAGTAGATACCACCTGAGATAGGTTCCTCAGCTACTCCTACCGAGTTCCTTAGACCCCAACCCAGCAATAGTCCGCTTGACGCGTGATCATATGCTGAGTCGGTCATGTTGTCCACATTGAAGGCTTTGATGGTTGAGACTCCTGTAGTCACATCTAGAGTCTGAAGGTCGATATTACCCACACTGCCACGAGAGACGAGTAGCATTCCAGGCACGACCTGGGACATGAGAAGGGTACGCGTGGTATGCCCTTCATAGTCCCCCATGCCTTCGACGATATCACGGGATTCGGATGTAGTCTGACCCTGCGACGCATCGTAGTTCCAAGCGTAGACATTGCTGTGGGATGATGCATAGAGCGTATTACCATCCTGCGAGAAAGCGATTCCGTGATTCAACTGTTATAGTCAGTTATCAGAAATCATCTCGAGTCACTTCTCGCCCAACACGACGCGAACACTCACAGATGCATCATCAACCACCTTCTGCACGTCCCCATCCACCCTAACACAAGCTCCATCACCTGTTAGCCTCAACCTACTAACCCCATGCTCTTGTTCCACAATAAGCAGTCCACCTTCGCGATCGAAAATAATGCCGCGTGGATTCCTCAGGCCATTAGCCACAACCTCAACACGGAACCCCGGCGCCACCGAAGGAGCACCATTTTGTGGGGCAATGGGACTCGCGCATGCTGTTGCAGCGGTGGATTGCGCTTTGGCCGTCAGCACAACGGAGCATGCGCTCAGGCCCACCACGGCCATTAAGTGTTTCAGCGCCATGTTGAATTGCGGAGAATGACGTGAGAAGTTGGCTCTTTTTCGGACGAGAGAATTGATTTGGGCAATGGAGCCGCTGGCGCTGATAAGTCCGAGGCGTGGTCTATTAGCGAGAATGGGGAAGTTGGGGCGCGTTATGCAAGGTACGGATGTAGTCAAGTCAACCAGGACTTCTCGTCTCGGTATTTGTCGCTTTCAGGCTGTGGAGATTTGAGGAAGTTGGGTTGTTTTGATCAGATACGAGTATCCGGCCGCCTGTGAGGAAGAGCAAATGAGAACAGCAAGAGAGCTTCACATATAGTCACCCCTCCTTCTGGTAGTTGGTACGAGTGGCAGTCGCCTCTCTTGGTGTCGTCTTCTGGTGTTGCTTGGCCTGCGCCTTCCAAGACAGATCATCGTCATCGACCTCGGATGAATGAAAGCGCGGGGTCTTGCGATTTGACCATTGTCAAACCATCGCAGTCTCAAGTACATGCAAATGTAATTGGCGAATGCGAATTTACGGAACTGCAGTACTCGCCTTCGTCTTGGTCGCATGTTTCACAAGGCAGGTCGCGCGACCGTTTTAATGTCGACATGTAATAGTGGAGTAGGGTCATGGAGGCTCTGTTTACAATACGACCGAGCCGGCCGAGGGTATTATTCCCACCCTTGGACGCGTTTATACGCTTGCCGGGGAGTCGGACCAACAAAGACGGTCATGTGTCCCGAGACGAACGAAAGAAGCTTATAGTAAAAGCTGTGGTAAGCTATATCGCTAGGAAAACAGGAATATGCATCGTGGATGACAGTGCAGCATATTAGGGTGTCCCTCGGTTAGTGGTAGCTTCGGCTTTATGACTGCAAAGCGACATGGGCTTTATTTGTTGTGATGATCCAGGATTGTTGGTATAACTCGATATATACAATTTAACCTTACAGTACAGGTAAGGAGAGCAAGTTTTACAGTCGTGTGCTGTGTCTGGTTATCGTTTGGTGATCTTCTGCAAGAAATTATCATCCCGCGTGCCTTCGCTGTCCACTGACCCGCTCGGGCAGAAGCGAGAACGAGTGCTGCTACGCTGCTGTACGAAGATCTGGCTGTCCGGCATGAACAAGATGCGCAGGCGATCATCAGTGCGTACGGGAAACTGCGCCTCGTTCGGTGTTGCCTTGGTAGCTGGCTCATGGAAACGCGATGCGTGGGAATGCATTAGTGGCGTGTGATTCGGCTAAGGGACTGCAGTAGTTGGCCTCGCAACAACGGCTCAGAAGCTATGGTAGTTTCATGAAGACAACTTCAATTTAGGAATTGGATAGAGCGATGGATTCCGGCTCAACTGTCTTCTAAAAGCAAGAGGCGGTGTACACGAGTTTAATAATATATGGTACGGGTAGTTGTTGGGGACTACAGAATAGCCTAGACTACCCCAGCATGATGGAGTTGCCACCGATTCCGAAAGTTAAAAGTGTAAACATCACGGTAGATCAGCGGGGCCGTAATGTCAAGATATGTTCCAAATTCTGTGTATTCGTCTCAGGAGATAGTGACTGTAGCCCTTAGGTATCAATGCTGTGATTTTTGAGAGGACCCTCGTTGTGATTCCAGATACCGTAGATCAAGAAAGGCAATGGAACAAAGAAACAAAGAGAAAACCTTCAACCCGCTTTTATACATGACTGAAACGTGTAGAAAAGCGGCTCGCGAACTGCGCGTTATGCTCATCCCGCCAGGAGAGTATTATATGCTCCACCACCACAAAGAAAACCTAATCCTTAATGCGCCGTAATCTTCCATTAGACAAAACGCATGCGCTTCATGTCGCATGCCTCCTCTTTTCCATGTGTATCCTGGCTGGGAGATGCAGCAACTTATGCAAAAAGGAATCGCAAATGCCATGTCGCTCCAAATGCAGTACTTGGCCTGACCTGATAGTCGATGGCTGCGTAATTAATACAGGGAAATAGTTGACCGGCCCGCGAAGGCTCGATCGTCGCTCGAACGCTCTGATCCAAAGTGAAATATCTAGAAGAAACTTTTGTTTCTCCCCACAGACTGTGGCCCAGATGCGTGTGGCCAGCACGAAGCGAATCGTATGCTTCTTTTTAAAATGCTCGTAAGTCGCGTCGTTGTATCCTGCGATTCTACATTACTGTCATGAGCTTCATCTGAGCCGCAAGATCCGCCTTTTGTTGGTGGATCGTGCCGAATGGTGGCTCCTCGTGTAGTGGGCTCGCGAGAGGACTTGAGTACAAGCCTTCCGCATCCCTGATTGTGTCTTTGACCTTGCGCGTCAACGTACTGACATATGGCACGATGCGTCGCAGAGTCGCGGTGTCGAATGGAACCTTCTTCGAAGGTGTCGAAGGTATAGGGGGCGCATCTAGGAACGGCTCGTACGCGCTCCTTCTCTTTTGCAGCGCTTCGATAACAGAACGCGCTTTGGCTTCTGAGTCTTTGCGGGGCCTCGTAACAATGGTCTTCGATTCCTGAGTAGCGGGGGTGGCGTCAAATTCGGGTTTGGCTGGTATCGGTGAAGACTGCGGGGTAAAGATTCCGTTGTTAGAAGGAAGGATAGACTTCCGCAGTGGGCGCGCTGATTGGGGAGGATTCTTGGGGCTATCTTCATTAGGAGATGGTGATTTGTGCCTTCCTCGTCCATGGCTAGGGCTAGCAGGTGGGTCCTCAAATGCGTCTTCATCGAAGTCAGGCGATGACGGTGGTGAGTCGTGAGCAACGTCCTGATGGTCAGCCTCCTGATCTGCAAGCTCAATCATCGCATCCACTTCGAGCCATGTGCCCGAAGGAGCGCCTTGTATCATGCCAAGCGCAACAGCGCGTACTCTTTGCTCTTTCAGTTCCTCAATCAACAAGCCCCATTCGCGTAAGAGACCAATGTTTGCAAGAACATTATTCTGCTGCTCTTGTATACTCTTGGGTACAACCATAGCTGAGCCACTATCAACTCTAGGAGAGCTTCCGTCTTCAGCAACAGGCTCCTCGGTGAGTTCGGAAAAGTCAAAGTCGTCGTTCCAGTCTTCGGTGACACCCTTGCTTCCCACACCCCAGGTGCCAAACTTGTTTGTGACCACTGTGTTACGTTTGCCAGTTAGATCCGGAACCACGGGCACGCTCTGGCTGCGAGCATGCAACCCGCTGGGTACTCGCCGACCAACAGAACGACTACCTCTACGGTCTGCATCTTTCTTTCCGTGCACCGTACGGGGACGCGGCGGTGTGCGATCTCCTGAATTCTTATCTGCGATTTGCTGTTCAGACCAGTCAAAGATGCTGCTGCGCGCGTCCTTATCACCAAACTCTGATGTGGAGTGATGTGGCGTAGTTGGGTTGGTAGTGGAGTCAGGTGCAAGGAGGTGCGTGTGCTGTCGCAAAAGCGCCACAGGGTTGGCCTTGTGGTTGACTGTTGGATGATCAACCCAGGGATCCTCGTCGTCTGCCTCTTCTAGTGACCACCTACTGCTATCGTCGTCGTCTCCTGCGCGCGAGTCCCATTCCAATGTGCCAAGCGAAAGCGGCTTGGGCATACTCGGGGGAGACGACGGTATCGCCTTGGGGAAGAGAGGCGCACTGTGTGTTCGAGTGACAGTGGGCGAGTCCTGCGAGGAACGTTGGGGGCGCACTGTCCGCACGGGCGTCGATATACTCTCCTCTTCCTCGGCGATGCTCTGGTGGCCGGCGACACCATTGACCATGGGTTCACCAAAAGAACCGGGGGGGAGTAGGTCTCGTAGGGCTGTGATCTTGACTTTGGAGGGGGGTGACTCGTCGAATATAGTCTCAATACGAGGCCCACGCGCGCCGACGGTTGAGCCTCTGGTCGCACCAGTGCGCAGCGAATCAAATACGGTCTCGCTCTGGACGTCAGCTTCGTCCTCGTCGCCGGACCCTAAGGCGCGAAGTTCATTATCAGACGAACCGACCAATGTCGAGGCTTGTTCTGAGGGGGCCATGGAATGACGCGAGGCCCGAACTCCCGATTGCGCTAGAGTAGGGGATGGTGGCGCTTGATTGGCGCCCGGTGCGGCTGAGGCCAAATCCTCGGGCTGCTGAGGCATTGACGCCAAGCTCGCGCCAGCGACGGGATCAGTCAAGAGGAAGGTAGGGAACAAGGGTGACGATACGGGTCTGCTCCGAGAAACATTGCGTGCAGGTGCTGTGTCGGTAGGCCCGGCGGATGTGGTGATATCGCGTCTTGCTGGTGTCGGGTTTGTCACATCTCGTTGGCCTTCTCCATATGAGGTGCTGCGTCGCCACCTGCTCATAGTAGGCAGGATAGGTGCTGAGTTAACCCGCTGGCTCTCACGGCGGGAAAGTCTGGGTCTCGACGCTGTGCCGGTTCGTTCTTTCCTGGACGAAAGGAATGAAGTGATGGAGAAGGAGCGTTTGGGCCTGGGGGCATTCTCGGGTTGGGCAGTGGAGGGCCGGCCACGAGTTTGGTTTGTTACTTTGGTAGCAAACGTGGCCGCCATGCTAAGCGGCGTCTCTGGTCGACTCACGAAGAAGACGCTTTCAGCATCGTCGCTTGTTGAGTCATCCACGTCCTCTGCACCTGCTACGACCGATCTTGCGAGCACGAGCATGGGCTTGTGCTTGTCGTCTGGAAATATCCTCTTAAACCCATTTGCATATGCCACCGAACCTCTCCGCCTTGCCAATGTTCGTTCCTTGGTAATTCTCGCTGTAAAGAACTGGGTATATTCGACCTCGCTGTTGTTGCTCGCTGATGTCTGGTGTTCGTCTGTTGAAGTGTGCTCGGCAGTCATGGATAGACGCGCGCCGTAGTTCTGCAGCGTCGCGTTGCGTTGGTGGCTGGTGGCTGGACGACGAAAGGACGGTCGGAGAGTCGCAGAGCCTAGGGCAGGCGTTTCACGAGGCCCGCGCACCGACGATGAGCGCTTGACGAGCTTGTTTCGTGGTACTGCTGACGTGGAGCGTTTGTCGATTATGGGCACGGTCGAGCCGTCGTGCGAGAAGGCCATTGAGCCATTGGAGCACGAAACGGCTGGAGACAGTGGGGACGGGCTCGTAGCCCTGCTCGACGAGTTGGAAATGGACGAGAGGCGCTTGATCCACGAGGCTCGCCGTGTAGGCACGTATCTTGTCGTGTCCACGTCGGACACACTCTGTTCGCTCGAAGGGTAGTTGTTCGCACTGGTCGGCAATTGCAGCGCCGCATCGTCGCTCGTCTTCCTCCTCACGATTCGCAACTGGGAACGGCCTTCCTGACTAAGTCGAGTCGCAAATGACATGCGCGAGGCAGGGGCGACGGGTATAGGAGCACTGAAGGAAGGCGCGGTCGTGGTCATGGCAGCAGTAGACATTGGATTCCGACTCGGCTCGTACGCCGGGGTAGCCTTCTTCTTATTGGAGTGCGACGAGTCCAAGGGGGCCTCCCGTCCAAAGGCCAAGCCGACAGTGGATGTACCAACGACAGTGGCAGTGGCACAGAGCTGTATCACAAGAGTCCGTCAGTCATTGCGCCTAGTACGACTTCTTATAAGAGAGGTATATCGAGGTAAGACAGGCAAGGTGCAGCCGCTCTCGGAATTAGACGCAGTAGAGGTGTCGATCGAGACATATCAAAACAAATCAAGGGCAGCTGCAGAGTGTACAGAAGACCCACGGACTGTGAGATAGAGAAAATGCAGGGTAATTACCGTTGGAATCGTTTTCATTCTCGTAGGAAACCAAGCCGCCGGGGAAAGGTCACTCGTCGAGGCGCTTGTGACGACTTGTCGAGCATTATGGCATGTCAGGGTGCCGGTGAACCAGGGATCGCGAGCTGCACGAGTAGGGACGGTGGAATGGAGGGGCTCAATCAAGCGCTGGGGCAGGCGTACTGCATTACGAAGCGTAGTAAAGGAAGGACGGCACAAGCACCGCGACGGGCTGAAGCAGAGAGGTGGAGCTCGACGAGGAGCGAGCGGAAGACTGAAGAGAATCCACTGCTTGTTGCTTCTGGGATCTACGTACAGGGCTACCCAGCTCTCTTTGGATTAGCGAGATGTCGCCGATGAGGGCTGATAGCGGCAGCTCGACTCGAAACATAACACGGAGGCACACAGGCCCCATGCCTCACTTTGCTCCGTCATAGCTCCACGCTGCGTGCAAAGTCAATCTCATCCACCAATGCTGTATGCGATGCGACGTGCCCAAGCCAGAATGTACATGGACACTGAGGGCCCGCTGCGGTGCCCAGTACCACGACGTTGCGCGAGTCCGTCCAGGACGGGCTCTAGCGCCGAGTAACAATCAACAACAATCAGGGACATGGCGCAGAGAGGCTGGAAGAACCCCTCTGCCGTCAGAGCTACCCAAATATAGTGTACCAGATGGAATCCCGGGCACCCGTCACAATACACGGTGATTGGCAGCCGGCCGCTGAACTGCCTGGAGAGACCCCTGTAGTCGAGTGGAGATGTTTGCTGATCGCGGCGTACGCAAGTGTCAACCGGCTTATGTAGTCCATCAGTGGTAGCGAAGGGGTGCCTTAGACTGTGCAGCCACGGGGCTATCGCATCTTACCTCTCGAGAATCCGGTACCGTCAACGGCAGAGAGATCTTGGTACGTATGAGCATAGCCTTGCCGTGTGGATATTTGTTGAATAGGCTGGTGCGGGCACCAAGTGCACTTTTGGGAAAGCTGCTCGTGGCCACGATCCTGGATAGCCGAAACGCAGAGCACGTCAGCCCCAGAGCGGAGAAGTTGTGAGAAGCGGGAACATGGGTTGCGCATAGGACGGAATCCATGACTGAGGCAGCGAATTCTGCTCACGGGGGATATCTCCGGTACATGCGCGCAGTGCGTGATATATTCACCACGGGCCTGTAGCCATCCGTGGTTCTGTACAAAATCTTTTCGAAGCCTAATACCATGGCCACATCACAGGTTGCAAGCCGTAGCCAAGGCGGCTCCGTACCCAACCTAAGGCAGCTGGAGGATGACTACCACGGTCAGGATAGACTCCAGATGCTTTTGCAGACTATCGAGGCCGTTGTCCCCCTCACTCTAGGCATAGTGGCTGCACGTTGGAATCCATCTGGCAGACGGCTTGCTGGGCGAGCTGTGCGGTGCAGAGGGTGGAAGTGACTGTGCGATGCGCGCTGTCTCGCGGGAACACAGAGATGCGAGTGACCGGGACAATCCTAGAAGCACATCATTGCTAAGGCGCCTCCAGACGCGTGGTGCAGATCCGCCACCTCTGCCAGTCCACAAACGTAGAGATGGGTTGTCATGTTTGATGGGCTGTCGGCATCGACGCCCTGATTGGCCGCCGCCGGCTCCTTCCAGAATCGCCGCCACGCCACATTTGGCTCCCCACGTCAAAATGTTCTTTGCCTTGGACAAACAGCCGTAGCACCGCAGTAAGCAAAGACCGACCACTGCCCCGCTATTACTCCGTAACTACTGGAAAAGAGTCGATAGTACGATAGGATTGCCCGCCCGCTGACCCAGCCAGCGCCACCGTGACATTGTCGGACAACGCACCATCCACGATCTCCCGCCAACCCGCAACCATGGAAGCTGAAATCAGAACCCAGATTCCGAACATTGACCCCGTCCTGTCAGAGTACTCAGCGGGGTACCTGACCCATGCGGCCAACCAGTTCACTTCCGACTCGGATCCTAATGCCCCCTCACCGCTTGAGGAAGCTGCTGCCACCGTGAGCGCATTGCTCTTATCAGCTTCCGGAGACCTCTCAAGCCAGAATGAGACGAGCATCCAGAACCTTGTTGACAAGTTCATCTCCCGTCTGAACACCGCCAATGGCACAGACGGCGAGCGCCGCCAGATGGCACCTTCGGCCAAGAAGCTCGACCAGGCTATCCACGTAGGCTCTTCCAGGAACATCTCCTCCACGCTAGGTCTCGCTGGTGGCGCTGTTGACCTCGAGTCTGCCAACACACGTAAAGTCGAATCCAGAGTCGACCGCAAGAAGCTCGAGAAAGCTGAACGCAAACTCCGTGCTAAGCAGGATCGTAAAGAGTTCAAGAACGTTGAATATGAAGCATCCCGACTTCTCAACGAGCCCAACGAGGCGCAAAGCTATGAAGAGTTCTACATGGCCGTCAACCCACTACAATTGGGTGACGCTGCCTCGAAGAGCAAGGATATCAAGATTGACAGCTTTGATATCTCTATGCCTGGATTGCGTATTCTTACAGACAGCTCCCTGACGCTCGCATATGGCCGCAGATACGGTCTGGTAGGTCAAAACGGTATCGGTAAATCTACCTTGCTTCGGGCCCTTGCTCGCCGTGAGGTTGCTATTCCTACGCACATCTCGATTCTTCACGTGGAACAGGAGGTCAGTCAACATGCACATTATGCATCTGCAACCACTGACTCTGGATATAGATTACTGGTGATGATACACCTGCGCTACAAGCTGTCTTGGACGCCGACGTTTGGCGCAAGCATCTCCTTAGGGAGCAAGAGAAGATTAGCAAGGAGCTAGCTGAGCTTGAAGAGGAACGTGCTAAAATGGCAGATACCTCTGCAGATGCTGCCAAGCTAGATACTCAGCGTGAGGGTCTAGATACCACTCTGAGCGACATCCATGCCAAGCTCGCCGAAATGGAGTCTGACAAGGCCGAGTCTCGAGCAGCAAGTATCCTCGCAGGTCTTGGTTTCTCACAAGAGCGACAGCAATTCGCGACCAAGACATTCTCTGGAGGTTGGAGAATGCGGCTGGCACTTGCACGTGCGCTATTCTGTGAACCTGATCTGTTACTGCTTGACGAACCTTCCAACATGTTGGACGTCCCCTCTATCACCTTCTTGGCAAACTATCTCCAGGGCTACCCTAGCACAGTACTCGTCGTATCTCACGACCGAGCTTTCCTGAACGAAGTAGCAACCGATATCATTCATCAACACTCTGAGCGACTCGACTACTACAAGGGTGGCAATTTCGATTCGTTCTACGCGACCAAGGAGGAGCGTCGCAAGACAGCAGTTCGCGAGTATGAGAAACAGATGGCTGAGCGTGCACATTTGCAAGCCTTCATTGACAAGTTCCGATACAATGCCGCCAAGTCGTCCGAGGCCCAGTCCAGGATCAAGAAGCTGGAGAAGATGCCTGTCCTTACCCCTCCAGAGGCAGCATACTCGGTGCACTTCAAGTTCCCAGAGGTGGAGAAGATGTCGCCTCCTATTATTCAGATGAGCGGTGTTACCTTTGGGTACAGCCCTGACAAGATTCTGCTCAAGAATGTGGATCTCGATGTGCAACTCGACTCACGTATCGGTATCGTTGGACCCAACGGTGCTGGTAAGACGACTGCTTTGAAGCTTCTTATAGGCGCACTTCAACCGACCACTGGTACCATTTCGCAAAACCCACGGTTACGTGTAGGCTTCTTCGCGCAACATCACGTTGACGCCTTGGACCTGAATGACAGTGCCGTTGGCTTCATGTCCAAGACATACCACGGACGGGCGGATGAAGAGTACCGTCGTCACCTCGGTGCCTTTGGTATCACGGGCATGACCGGTTTACAAAAGATGGAGCTGCTGTCAGGAGGTCAGAAATCGCGCGTTGCCTTTGCGTGCCTGGCGTTGCAGAACCCGCACATTCTCGTGCTTGACGAGCCATCTAACCACTTGGATATCGAAGCCATGGACGCGCTTTCGGATGCTTTGAACAAGTTCCAGGGTGGTGTGCTGATGGTCAGTCACGACGTCACTATGCTGCAGAACGTATGCACGAGCTTGTGGGTGTGTGACAACGGCACCATTGAGCACTTTGATGGAACTGTTAAAGATTACAAGCGCCGCATCACAGCGCAAGCAAACGAGGCGGGAGTGGTAGCGAAGCACTAGATGCGGGTTTAAAATATAGAATATGTGATAGTAATGATATAGCTATCCGCGCTCTGACAAAAGTGGGCCTTTTTGAGAAAATGTCCGGTTCACGTGCAATGACAAGTCTTGGTGTTGCATTTGTTATGCCGGTAATAACATCTGATTTCATTGTGTCTTCCCTTCGAAAGTTGGAAGGCACGCTAGACCCAAACCAAACGCCTGGACTGATTAACCACTCTCCGCGTCCGTCGCACCTCATCACAAGCACCACATCTCCCGCTCAGCACAGCAAGCAAACATCTGCTTCCCTTTCACCTCCAACACTGCTCCACCTAATGCGCGTAGCTACCTCGTGGTGCCCACGCGCTCAAGTTTAATTGACAGCGGCTACTAGCGCGCTTGCCCCTTCGAGCTCATCATCCGTCCTGTCCAATACACAACCACCGGCACCTTGTCGCGCACGCAGAATTCCAGTACAGACGGCTTGTCCGTAGTCACTCATTTGCCTCAGAATCCCACCCATCGTGATTCCTCCCGTCCACCCTACGCCGTCACAGCACCAGCCAGCAGCACCGCAGCATTGACGACGACAGCCGGCGAATCACCCTACCCACCTCCCTTCTCCTCTCTCTTCTTCCCGCCCGAGGACACTGAGGAACGCAACAAGCTCGGCGAAAACACAGAAGACGAATCACCCCCCGCGTTTACTTCGGCGCCTGCCTTTACCGAGTCATCCTCGTCTGCTGCCGCTGTAGCTGCCACCAAAGCCGCCCTTCCTTCCGATACCAAAGACGGCTCTAATAGCAAAGACGTTGACGACGGAGAACCACCGCCGCCCTATAGCGAAGGATCAAGCCCGCTCGAGTCTTTTACATACGTAATGGCATCCGCAGGAGGTCCCGCGAGTATTATTACTCAGGTGTCGCAGACAACAAATGCCGGACCGCCCATCAACACACTCGGTGGATCAGATGAGAACATCACCCTGGAGTTGAGGTAGGGACATCGTTCACCACACGCGACACTGAAGGCTAACTCAAATTCTAGGGGCACACGATTCACTCTGTCGCGAGACGAGCTTCTGACACTACCCGAATTCGTCCTCCTCTCTCTCTTTCCCAATGGCCTGCTCCCTGATGGGCACATGAACTCCTACCACGATGGAGACGTATACCCAGTCGACGTTGGTAACCCCTCTTCCTCCTCTTCTTACCCTTCCCTTCCCCTGGCCCCAGTAGCTAAGATCTTGTACCACCTCTCCAACCCCGCATTATATTTATCTGACAATATCTATCCTTCACAGTATGACCCCAACTCCCTACAGTACATGTTGGAGTTCTTCCGCACTGTAGCTCAGACCATTCCTGCGTCGCCTCCTTCACCAACCGCCGCCCCCGACCATGCTGCCGAAGCTGTGCCCATTGAGCCTATGCATGGATCTGCTAGAGACATGCTCCAGGATCGTGCCGGTATAATTGTCCTTCGCGAGGATCTCGACTTCTACGCCATTCCGCCGCACCGCGACATCACTCAGCCTGAGATGATCGAAGTCAAGCGAGCTGCAGGCGAGGCACTGCTAAGACAAGACGGCATTTTCTCTGGCCTTAGGAAGAGCGAGGAGCCAGGAACGACCGAGCAGCACCTCATCGAGATGTTGACCGCAGGGTAAGCATACCATTAGCAAAGTGGAGATCAGCAACTAACAGCATGCAGCGGCTTCAACCACGACGACCGATGGGGCCACCGTGCCGGCGAGCCTAACAAAGCTGTCATTTGCAGCATCGCCCTTGCACGCCTGAGGACGGACATCAAAGGCAATGACCTTGCTAACAGCAACGCTGTCGGCATGGCGCAGAAGTTGCTCCTCTTCTGGAGGAAACCCGCTCGCCGCTGCTGGTGGGAAGGTGTGGAGCTTGACAACGTCAGAGGTGTTGAAGGCAAGCTTAAGGTGTGGATAAGGAGAGTGTGGACGCTCGAAATGGTATGTTTGTCCTGATGCACAAGCACGACTTTTACTGACAGCACCCCAGAGCGTTATCGGTCTTCGCTAAGGTCCCCGCTACATCTGGCGTATCTTTTCTTGACTTTGGTGGCGTTTCCCTGTTTCCTCTTGACGTTTCAATCGCGGCATCACTACCGCCGATGAAAAGCACCGGCCGGCTCATCGTTTCCTATTGTTCTTGATACCTCTCTACTTTGGTTCATCATCACCTATGGAGACTAAGGCAGATGCTCTCCATCCCATAGCAAGCGTTGGCATCATAGGGCTTTTTTCCAGTTACATTGTTTTTTTCCAAGATAATCCACGGGTAAAGACGTACATATGCTTTGTATAGCGGTAGTAGTAGTGTCAGCAGCAAGCGGAGAATTTAGGTCCGCATTAAATTGTAATATCTTTAGTCAGTCAGTAAATCCAGGGTGTTTTTTGGTTCCGAATACAACATGCATCACAGTTCTCGTCAAACCCCACTGTGACTCCACAACTTCTCGTGGTACCGAGATCAGCCTCACATGTCACCATATCTTAGCCTCCCCCCCTCTCTTGTGGCGTCATAAGCTTTCCGCAAACTAAACCCCACATTGAGGAACGCTGTGTTCCTGTTGAATAACTGGGATCCCCATGCCCTCTTTCCACCAAACTTCCCGTCTTCCTTGCTTGTCGGACCGGGTATCTGGGACCACGACATGGCTTTTTGAGGCTGAGCGACATGAAACGTCGGACTGTTGTTCGTAACTTCGTACCTTACCTTACCTTACCTTGCATGTTGTACGCGTGGGGAGAAGTGGAGACTGCAGCGCGGTAGCATGTACATTTCATGTTGTGGTTGTGGGATGTGGGTCTAATATAGACCGAGTGTGATGCTGTGGAACGGGGGCAGTATGGGCAGGGGCAGGTTGTCGTTTAGTCGTCATTAAAACATTGTACTTGCAGTTTTATGATGAGTCCGGATATGCATTATTTAATCCTTGTTACCAAGGATTGCATATATTACAACAAAGCTGAGGATTCTGGAATCTGTCCATGGAGGTACATACATGACTTCAGGAGCAAGACTATAGAAGAAGCCCTCTACTCTCAATCAGAGGCTCGGGTAGCAACAATCCATCCATAAAACAAATCCACGATGCAGCTCGCCGTCATGAAGGGATAAAGCTCCTCTGTACGACAAATCGAATCGACATTTGGGTCTCTATGCATAATAACTCGGGAGACACTATATAGCAACCAACATCATTAATACCGCGGTGTGGAGAAACCTACTTTTCAATCTGATACATCGAAACGTAATCTTTCATGTCTCAGAGGTCCAGTCACAGCAGCAAAAGTGTCAGGTAGAGTGATGTATGAGTGGACAACACGTTTCTACGCATAGGCGTGGCGGGTCGATCACATAAATTGTATGTTCGTATAACCACCTGCTCCATACTGCGTATGCTGAGCGGGAAGTATCTGACAGGACGTGCATGCGGCAAAATGTCCATTCCGATGTTAGGGGCGAAACATGCGTCTAGCGGTTCCCTAGAATGTTGGGCAACGTTGTGTGCATGATCGGCTGTTCAGTTTCACGTATGCGTGCAATACAGCGTGAATGTGGAGGACGATAACGAATAACGTTTGAGGTTGGACATGCACTGCAGATGTCAATATGTCAAAAACGGCTCAAGGGATACCTACTGCATGTCTTTGAAACCGATGAGTGTGGGGTTGTGTTCGTAAGGAAAGTTTGGTAGCTACATGTTGATCACAGAAGATGTCACGGCTCGAAGAAGCGGTTGTCGAGGTGGGTATGGAGGCCCACTGTTATTGTTCATTCTTCAGTCCACCGACTATGACGGTGGACTGTTACTGTTCTCGTGCTGCGTGTAGAAACGCAGTCTATCTCATCCATATCGCACTCTTACATAGGGTATCATCTTCGGTATTGACCATGGTTGAAGGGTCAAGTAGATGATGTGCAAACCAACGCCTTTTGAAACCCCGCCGAGCCCCGGGCTCGATGCTATGCCGTTGAAGACAAAGAACTTTTCGAAGTGGTATCATAACGTCGTGTTGAAACTTCCCAAACGCTGTACAGTAAGAAATCTAGTAACGGTAGATGTCACTCTTGAAAGGACCCTCAACAGGGAGACCAAGGTACTCGGCCTGGACCTCGCTGAGCTTGGAGAGCTCAACGTTGACGTGTGCCAAGTGGAGAAGAGCGACTTGCTCGTCGAGAATCTTGGGCAGAACGTAGACACCGACATCGAGCTTGCCGGTCTTGCCGAACTCGATGTACTTGTTGCCGAACTCCTCATCAGAGGCCTTGTACAGCATAATCTGGGCAAGGACCTGGTTGGTGAAAGAGCAGGACATGACGAAAGAAGAGTGGCCAGTGGCGCATCCCAAGTTGACAAGACGGCCCTCAGCGAGGAGGATGATGTAGCGGCCGTTGTTCATCAAGTAGCGGTCGACCTGGGGCTTGATGCTGGTGACGGACTTGGCGTTCTTCTTGAGCCACGCAACGTCGATTTCGATGTCGAAGTGACCGATGTTGCAGACGATGGCGTCGTTGGGCATAACCTCGAAGTGGGCGCCAGTCAGAATGTCACGGCAACCAGTGGTGGTGACGAAGATCTGACCTTGAGGAGCGGCCTTCTCCATGGTGGTAACCTGGAAGCCGGAAACGGCAGCCTGGAGGGCGTTGATGGGGTCGATCTCGGTGACGATGACACGGGCACCCATGCTGTGGAGAGCCTGGGCGCAACCCTTACCGACATCACCGAAACCAGCGACGACGGCGACCTTGCCAGCAATCATGACGTCGGTGGCACGCTTGATACCGTCGACGAGCGACTCACGGCAACCGTACAAGTTGTCAAACTTGGACTTGGTGACGGAGTCGTTGACGTTGATGGCGGGGACGAGGAGACCCTTGCCCTTCAACATGCGGTAGAGGTGGTGGACACCAGTGGTGGTCTCCTCAGAGACACCGTAGCAGTCCTTGAGCATCTCAGGGTACTTCTTGTGGACGAGGGCAGTGAGGTCACCACCGTCATCGAGGATCAAGTTCAGGCTCTTGCCGTCCTTGAAAGCTGTGAGTTGCTGCTCAAGGCACCACTCGTATTCCTCCTCGGTCTCGCCCTTCCAGGCGAAGACAGGTACGCCGGCGGCGGCAATGGCAGCGGCAGCGTGGTCCTGGGTGGAGAAGATGTTGCAGGATGTCCAGGTGAGCTCAGCACCGAGGGACTTGAGGGTCTCGATGAGAACGGCAGTCTGGATGGCTGGGAATGGGTTAGCAGTGGAATTGCAATCAGAGGCACATGCAACATACTCATGTGCAGACATCCAGCAATGCGGGCGCCCTTCAATGGCTGGTCCTCAGCGTACTTGCGGCGAGTCTCCATCAGACCAGGCATCTCGTTCTCGGCGAGCTCAATCTCGCGGCGACCGAACGCCGCAAGACTGATGTCGGCAACCTTGAACTTGTGGGCGGGGGCAGACATTCTGGCGGTTTATTTTGATGTATTGGGGGTATAGAGAAGGGAGGGGATGAGGAGGATGAAGAAACGAGCGTTCGAGGGAGAAAAGTGGGAGAGATAGCCCCGCGCTCTAGCAGTTGTTGACGCTAGTGGACCCTTAGACTTTTGCTCCACATCGGCAGTTTACTGGACGAAGACAACTCACCGCCCAAGAACAATACTAGTACGTCTTGACAAGTCCATTGATGCGATAGAGAAAAACGTGCTAGTTACAGACATTGACATTAGTCGATAACATCCACGGTAGATCCATGTGTGCTCGTATACATGCTCCAAGTTCGTGCTGTCTTCAAACCTCACGCTGCGGGGCATGAAACGACACCCTGTTGAGCATTCGCGACGCGCCATCCTTCTGATACGAATCGAGTAAGGTCGTTCGTAAGCACCGAATATCACCGAATAGATCAATCATGTTCAAACGCTAAAAGTACAACATTCCGCTTTTGTCGAGCTCAGGTATAGTGAGGCACTTGGCCTTTATCCCCCTCAGCTCCTGCCGCCAGCGGTGAGACGCCGTTATCAATCTTCTTAGGACCAGGCCTCTTGAAATGCGGCTTCAAAGGCTCCCAGCTCTCAGCGTTGTAGCCCTCTTGTATCTTCTGGCACTTTGTGAGGCCCCAGTCTGTCACGCCAATCATGAGGCAGCTCTCGAACATGAATGCCATACTGCCCTCACCAACCTTGTTGGGCTGTAGATCAACATTAGATGCCTTTTCATGGGTCGCAGCATCGGGGCCATGACCGGACATGACATTGTGGAGGGAAGCGCCAGCGGGCTGGAAGCCTCCACCAGTCTTCGCGTCGTACTGGCCACCGATAAGTCCCATGAACTCAGACATGGTGTTGCGGTGATACCATGGTGGTCGGAACGTGTTCTCAGCCACTAGCCACCGTGGTGGGAAGATGACGAAGTCTGCTACTGCTGTACCTGGCCGGTCCGTTGGTGCAGTGAGGACGGTAAATATGGATGGGTCTGGATGGTCGAACGAGATGGAACCTATGGTGTTGAAGCGCCCGAGGTCGTATTTGTACGGGTAGTAGAGTCCATGCCATGCGACCACGTCGAATGGCGTGTGTCTCTGCTTCGCGGCGTAGAGATGTCCGGCAAACTTGGCGAGGATGTTCCACTCTGTTTCGGTATCTTCGTCAAAGTCGGCTACTGGCGCTTGGAAGTCTCGCGCGTTGGCGAGGCAGTTGGAGCCAATAGGCCCCAGCTCGGGAAGTGTAAAGTGGCCTTGGTATAGCTCTAATATGTAGCCTCGCACAGGGCCTTCTGGTAGGGTGACACGGTACCGAATGCCTCGTGGTATGACGCAGATTTCGTTGGGACGCACGACAAGGCGACCCAACTCGGTCTGGATGTCAAGCACACCATGTTGGGCCACGATCAAGAAGTCGCCATCAGCCGAGTAGAATGCCTCGTTGGCTTCCATGTCTTTGCCTGCCGCATAAATGAAGTATCCAACGCCCGACTTCATTGTAGGATCACCAGCACCTGCCACCAGATGTAGTGAGTGCACCCAATCCACGGTCTCGTCGAGATCGAAAGGGTCCCATCGTAGCTGATTCGGGATGTAGTGTATCTTCTCCCAAGGCTTGTTTTCAGGGTTCGTATTGAACGTCTTGGATTCGCGGGGTTCGAAGTTGCTGTGTCCGCACGAGGGCAGGATGCGGTAGAGCCATGTTTGCTGGTTCTCGTGTCGCGGGGCTGTAAAGGCGGTGCCTGAAAGCTTCTCGGCGTAGAGGCCATATGGAGGTTTTTGAGGAGAGTTAGCACCAATTGGAAGCGCGCCTTCTACTGCTTCGGTTCTACATGTGGTCAGTACAAGTTATCAGAACAACGTGTCAACAAGCCATACTCGTGGTAAGAGTTGAAGCCATTCTGGTATCGGTATTTCTCCTTGAAAGCGAATTGAGTAGACGGCATCGCGATGTTAGTGTATACAAGATCAGTCACGTCTGAGGAGTTTCTTCGCAGATGATAGTGAACAAGGATCGAGTCCGCGCATCAAGGTAATGCATGTGTAAATACTTCACGGATGCTGCGGGTATGCAGGGTCATAGTAGCCGTAGCCGTAGCAAGCTGAGGCCCGGCCATAATGCAGGTGCGAAGTCGCGAGATGCGGTAATGGGCGGCTTCGCATTCCGTCGTTTGTCGCGTCACATTAACAAAGCGGAGAAGAGACGCGCGATCGAGAGCGCTCGTGTCGGCTTACCCCACCAGGTGGAGAGCGGGTGACCCCTGTCTGTTGGCAAGTGACGGAATCTTCCCGCGCCCGCCTTCATCCCTCTTCCGTCACAAGCCGGCAGTCCATCCCAAGCACCGCATGGCTCTGAGAACTGCCACCATGGGGCCGAAACCCCGAGCCTGGAATATTCCGTATTTCTTCTATTGACCTTGGCAGGTATACACAACTGTTGAGGTAAAGCCATTGCATCCCAAGACGTTGAGCACTTGTTACATCGAAGCACGGAAAGTCGCAAGCAATTATTGCGTCAACCTTTATTTGACACAAACATCGCAAAAGGCGCCAAGTTACCACAACGAATACCAATCATGGCTTCGCTGCGATCTTGGTTCAGTATACCCCGTGGTTCTCACTTCTCACTAGCCAATATTCCGTTCGGTGTCATCTCGACTGCTTCGTCTAGTTCACCGCGGGTTGCAGTCGCCATTGGAGATCACGCTTTAGATCTTGAAGTCTTTGCTGCAAACAATGGCTTCTCAGGACTGTCTACGATACAACCGCATCAAGCTGTCTTCTCACAATCGTCACTGAACGCTTTTGCAGCACTTGGTCGCCCAATTCACTCCGTGGTTCGAAAGTACATACAAACTGTCTTCTCTGTGGACACGACATACCCGGATGTTCTCAGGAACAATTCTGCACTCCAGAAGCAAGCCCTAATACCGCTCAAGGAAGTCAAAGCACATCTGCCGTTCCAAATCGGTGACTACACCGACTTCTTCGCGGGTATGAACCATGCCTACAACTGCGGCGTCATCTTCAGAGGTCCTCAAAACGCGCTGCAACCAAACTACAAGCATCTCCCAGTCGGTTACCACGGTCGAGCATCCTCGGTGGTTCCATCGGGAACTCCCATTCGACGGCCCAACGGTCAGATACTGCTCGACCCTACCGCGGAGAAGAAAGTGCCTACATTTAGTCCATGTAAGAAATTGGATATTGAATTAGAGCTGGGGGCTTTCGTCTGCGGCTCCAACGAGCAAGGAGTGCCAATACCGATTGAGAAAGCCGAAGAAAACCTCTTTGGCGTTGTGCTCATGAACGACTGGTCAGCGAGGGACATCCAAGCATGGGAATACGTACCTCTAGGTCCCTTCAACGCGAAGAACTTTGGAACCACAATCAGCACTTGGGTCGTACTCGCAGATGCACTAGAACCGTTCAAAACCAAGGGCTTGGACAACGACTCGGAAGTGCTGCCCTACTTGAAGGAGAAGAATGAGAAGAGTGTGTACGATATCAACCTCGAAGTCGATGTCAAGAGTATGTCCATCTGCGTATCATCTCAAACATCACACGCTAACCATCGTCAGCATCATCTGGCAACAAAACAACAGTATCGAAAGTGAATGCACGAAATCTGCTATGGTCCTTCCCACAAATGTTGACACATCACACCATCACAGGATGCCCCTTCAGACCGGGTGACTTGCTGGGCTCTGGTACCATCAGTGGCAATTCTCCGGCTGAGTACGGAAGCTTTTTGGAACAGAGTAACAATGGTAAAGAGACTATCGCGCTAGAAGGTGGTGAGAAGAGGACATTCTTGGAGGATGGGGATGAGATTACTATTCGAGGATTGTGCGGTTCAGATGATGAAGCTTTGGTCGGCTTTGGAGAGTGTGTTGGTCGCATCGAGCCTGCATTGAAGTTGGGCTTTGCTTGAGCGTATAGAGATATGCTGAAGCATACTTCAAACGCTTGCTCGCAAGACTTGGAGCATGGGATGCACCGTCGATTCTTCTAGCAGGATGGCGCGATAGAATAGTACGACTTCACCGGCCAGACTCGTTTCTCGTCGATTCCACAGATAGAGATTCTGCACAACCGTAGACTGTCCATCTCCGAACTTTCTGCGAACTAGGTCGGCGTTGTTGCATGTGCTGATCCCTTGTTGTATCATGCACAAGGAAATATTCCGCAGACTACCTAGGCACATGCATTTCGTACGCTTCGCCACCATGTGGTAGACGTCATAGTTTGACCCATACACGCTCTAGAAATCTACATCTCATTCAGGATAGCTTTTCTCTTGCAAAATTGCAGGCATTTGACATGATCTTGAGGTGCTTAACCGTACCCGGCTTCAGCACAGTGGGAAGTCGCAAGTTGAAAAAGAACTAGCATAACTCCGACAAAGTGTACAGTACTAACACACCAGTCTGAGTTTCTTTCCGCTACCTCAACAGTGGGAATTCGCTCAAAGCTGCTCCATCGTCCCACTGAAAGTTTATGGTATCCATACTCTGTCCAAAAAGAGATTAGCTTACTCCATAACGCGTCCCGTCTCCGCACCGTCGAGCTAGCATCGGCATCATCGTTCGCGGCATCATTCCGCTACAAGCTACACAACCTTCTGCGCACGATGAAATCCGAGACGGATGCCCCGCAGCAACGGCATTAATCCATTGGAACCAATGCTTGGACCACTCATGGCCAGTCAAACGGAGGCTAATCATGCTGAGCCTGACCTCGGGACGCCCGCGTCAGGCTAGGGATTTCCTCTCAAACGAAAGCGCATGGCATCGGAGGTATTGTGCTACTATAAGTGCCACCGAAGGCTTGAGCTCCTCTCTGGGTTGCAAGCTTCTTTCTTCCATTCCTCTCACGTCTTCTTATAGACATTAAGCTTCTTCAACACCATGACGATTCCCATCTACATCGCCGGTGTTGCCGTTTTGGGGTTCTTCTTGTATAAGTTGCTCTATGGAACTGATACACCGCACATAAAAGGACTACCAGAAGTTCCCGGTCTTCCACTTTTCGGCAGCTTGTACGAGCTCGGTACGAACCACGCAAAAGTAGCGCAAGGATGGGCGAAGAAGTACGGTCCCGTCTTCCAAGTAAGAATGGGAAACAGGGTAAGTTCAGATTCTCACGGATAGAGGTCACATTTGTCCGAGTGACAATACTAACTTGGATATCTAGAGAATCGTGTTCGCGAACTCGTTCGACTCCGTCCGCCATCTCTGGATCACAAACCAGTCCGCCATGATCTCTCGACCTATGCTTCATACTTTCCACAAAGTCGTGTCTTCATCCCAAGGTTTCACCATCGGTACTTCGCCATGGGACGAGTCCTGTAAAAACCGTCGTAAGGCCGCTGCCACGGCACTCAACCGTCCCGCCGTACAGTCTTACATGCCACTCATCGACCTCGAGTCCACCGTCTCTATAAAAGAACTATTAAATGACAGCAAGGGCGGAGAAATCGATCTTGATCCGCGAGCATACTGGCAGCGATATGCCCTGAACACGAGTCTGACGCTCAACTACGGATACCGGATAGACGGAAATAAGGACGCGCCTCTGCTAAAAGAGATTGTGGATGTTGAGCGTGGTGTAGGAAACTTCAGGTCGACGAGCAACAACTGGCAAGACTATGTGCCGCTCTTGAGACTTTTTCCTGCGCAAAGCAATGAGGCGATCAGCTTCCGGAAGAGGAGAGACGTGTATATGGACCGGCTACTCAATACCCTGACAGAGAAGATCGAGAAAGGTACAGATAAGCCGTGTATTACTGGAAATATCATGAAGGACCCAGAAGCGAAGCTGAGCAGAGGTATGTTAAGAGCATCTTGCCTTTAGTCTTGTTTATGCTAACGCATAGTAGCCGAGATCAAATCTATCTGCTTGACCATGGTATCAGCAGGTCTCGACACAGTACCAGGTAACCTCATCATGGGTATCGCATATCTCGCAACACCAAAAGGCCAGAAAATCCAGCAACGCGCATACGAAGAGATTATGAAAGTCTACCCTAACAACGACGCATGGGAACGCTGCCTCCATGAAGAGAAGATTCCGTACATCACTGCTCTATACAAGGAAATCTTGCGATACTGGACCGTTATCCCAATCTGCTTACCTAGGGTTTCAATCAAGGATATCGAATGGAACGGCGTCAATATCCCGGCAGGAACAACATTCTATATGAACGCCTACGCCGCCGACTACGACGCAGAACACTTCAAGAACCCAGAGGAGTTCGATCCGGAGCGCTACCTAGACGTTCCGGATGGCGCTGGAACACCGCATTACGGATATGGTGCTGGCTCACGCATGTGTGTTGGCTCGCATCTCGCCAACCGCGAGCTTTTTACTGCTTTCGTAAGATTGATCTCGGCTTTCAAGTTTACTCCACCGGTAGACCCGCGGGATGAACCCATCATGGACTGCTTAGAGGCACAGGCTATCCCAACCAGTCTGACACTCGAGCCAAAGTACTTCAAAGTCGGGTTCAAGCCAAGGAACAGGACGCTGCTAGACCAGTGGATTAAGGAGAGTGAAGAGCGGACGAAAGATTTGATGTAGATGTGTGTTGAGCATGATGATCGATATGTAGCTGAAATGTCTATAATAGTTTTGTTCACATTCGGATTTCATAAATGGACATTTTATCGCGGCGGATACTCACTACCCCTACACAAGCGGCTTACAAGAATCAACCTTCATAGGCGGCAACATACCTAGCTTCGCCATGTCCTGGTATGTTTCAAAGATGCTCTCCATCGTGTCCACGAACCCGTTGAATCCAAACCTGCGCACCTTATTCCCCGACAGCGTGCCAAGAAAAGTGAAAGTGAAGTCGGCCATCACCAACGTTTGCTTGTCGGCTTCGGGCACATTCATTGTCAGCTGCCCGTTGGACTGCTTCATCATCTCTTCCCAGTCCTTCGCCACGGCCGTTTGTTCCGCCCATTTGCATAGAGGATGGGCCATCTTTAGTTCGATCGGGGGACCGTAGCCTAATGGGCAGTCTCTACCTCCAGCGAAGTACTTGCTCTCGTACTTTGACTCGTCTTCCTCAGGACCAAGAACATCGGCGCCGAACCAGCGCCCCAATTCGTTCCAAAAACGGTCCCAACTGATGTGCTCACCGTCTTGAGCGTTGAAGCGTTGGCATTCGGCTGTGTCCTCCAAGACGGCCCACTCGCTCAGATACCCGGTCAGACGGGCGGTGGAGTGCGAGTACTCGGACTGCCAGCTGTGGAAGTCGGCAGGGAATTGGAGAGGTTGGTTCCTGTGCGCTTGGACAGCGGCATAGACACCGTATGCGAGGAAGGTGTTCATAGCTGCGGTTTGCACCGCACCAATGACAGCCGCGGGCATGACGATGTTCCATTTTGTCTCGGGATGCTCCTCGCAGTACTTGAAAAGAATATCTTCTTGGTGGTAGTAGAAGTTTGGGCTGAGGTGCTTGGGCTGGGGGTCAGATTCAATGATTGGCTGGCGCCCACGGCCAATGTGCATGCCGTAGTTCTTGCCTCCTGTTTGCAGGAGGATACGTTTGGGCTTGAGGTCAGCCTTTGGTAGAGAGCCCAGGAAGTTCCTGAAGGGCGGGACGTTGGCTTCTATCAGGGCTTCTGCTGAGCTGGGGTCCATGTCACTCTTTCCGTTTCCAGGAGGCAGGTAAGCATAGTAGAAGACGTAGTCTGCCTCGACACCCGCGTCTTTGAACGATTTGGCAATGTCATCGCCTGAAGAACTGAGGTCGATGGAAATGTGCTGGAGACGGGCACGCTGCTCGTCGGTGAAGAATGCGAGGAGCTCTTTCGAGAATGGCTTTCGAGAAACAGCGTAGATTTTGGACCAGCGATCGGGCGTATCAAGAAGGGAGCGGATCGTGTTGAATCCTGAGATACCAGTCGCTCCGCATACAATGGCCTTCAGATTCTTAACGCTTGAATCGAAGGTAGGCAGGTTGCGGTAGATGCCTGACTGGCGAAGAGGCTGTTCCAAAGAGCTGGGCATGATTGTTGTAAGTTGATGAGATGGTCTTGAATGTGGCTGTGTTTGTTTTTCTCAAGCTGGGAGTTTCTTCCCTTTTATGTTGAACTCGAGAACAGCATTCGATGACTGAAGCCTAGTCCATCTTTGAGACATCGTAAAGATGTACCTCGATAACACCGAAGCATTACTGACAATCTCGCGCTATGTACGATATTGTCATACATCAAGACGGCATTGAACCCATTGATTGAACCCACGCTCCACGTTGGGAGTCGACGTGCAGCCGATTCCCCATTATTTTTGTCCCGGTAGACCCTCCGCCACGCCATCGAGAGGTCTAGTGTGCCTGGATGTGGAGATCTAAAACATTTCCAAAAAGATTAGTTCCCGGCCGCCACACACGTCAATGCCCAGGTACAGATCCTTTTTCATCAAAAGGTTTAGGCTTGTCCCAAGCCACCTCTTGGTGGACTTCAGGTTCACTGATGTCATTCATCATGCGCTAAGACCTAACGAGACGTTGGTGGCATGTCGAAACTCCAACACTATTCTATCTAGAATCTGGTACACTTGGGCTTGCCAGGATAATACAATTATCTCTGTTGAAGGTGGGTACTTCATTTCATCAAAAGAAAGTACCATAGACCATGCCAGATCGATCAGAAAGTGCATCCGTCTACACTAAGTGGGTCCCGGAGCGGGAATCGGTCGGCGCGAGGACCCCGAGATGCGAAGAATAGCTCCTCTCAATTTTCCTTATCTTCTCATCACACCCCCGATTCTTCTTTGTGTTTGAGCTATAGCTTTCATATACTTTCGTGAGGAGATTTCGAGGTGGTTTCGATATCGGTCGATTTACTAGCCGATGACGTAGTCATTCTTGGTTCTACGATGACTAACAACGTCCTATTTCGCATCCACATCGTTCGCTTTTCCTTCCCAAAAATTGCTGGATAACCGTTGACGCTATTGTTGTACGCTACTTGCCTTCAAATTACTATGGAGATGTGCTGAAAGTCGAACGGATCGACTCGTGGTCGCTCCCTCAATTCTTCGCTCAAGATGTTTGAGATATCAGGGCCGATTCTTGTTTCCTGATGCCATCTGCATATGTGCGTTCCTCACTTGTCTACCAACAGCTAGAGTTTCTGAAGCCATGAAAGTGCACCTTGCTGAAAGAGTGGAGAGACGTGATAAACAGGCCGAGCAGCACTGACGTACAGCTGACAGCGGCAACCAGATCATGATCCTGATGACACCATCATTGTAGAGGTCCCGTGTGGTTTCAGCGCCCGGTGGTTTCTTCAAGGATCTGAGTATCCCACGGAGTGCATCCACTGCACTTGCCGACCCACTTGTTTCAGTCGGGGCAATACTGCCTGAATTGGCATTATCATTCTCCGCAGCTTCTGGAACTGTTTGACCTGGAGAGTCAGGATCGTCTTCAAGTCTTCTCGGTCCCTCTTGATCTGGTGGCAGTCCCGAACGCGGTGTCGACACCATGCGCGATTCTGCTGTTCAGGCCTGAAGCCAAGAAAACCAAGGCTAAAATCTAGCATGGCCTGTGTTAGTGGCCAGATATGTCAAGAGAGCGCATAGCATTGCTTATAGTGGATACTTGGTGATTGGGGGATGTTTCTTGTGTAGAACTGTCGAGCGTAGCGGCACAGTCTACAAGAAGAGAGGAAAAGGTGGAAGCGAGTGGCAGTATACGTGACTTTATATTAAGGCCCAATCGTCGCTTACTCAGATTGTACATATTGCGAACAATGAAGACAATGGCTACCTATCTAAGATGGGATCTTGTATTGTTCATTGCCTCGTCGCGAGCATATAAAGTATGCACATGCACATTCGTCTCTGCTGATACACACTCTCACATCATTTTGTTAAAGCAAAACTTGATACCAGACTCAACAATAGCACTATACAACCAGTTACCACCATGAAGTTCTCAACTTTTCTGTCTGCAACCGCTACGCTCCTGTCCGTGGGAACAGTTCAAGGTCGTCCTACCACATATGACGACGAACTTGTAGGAGCACACAAAACATAGCACACAACCATATAATACTGGCTATAAATGTCCAGTCCCTCTGCGATGTTCTCATGACCCCCAAAATAGACGGTGCTGGCGTCCGTATGCTGGGACGCGACGGAGTGTTGCGCCGACTCAACAGCGCTCGTACCGAAGTTGTTGGCTACGTCCGATTGAACGTGCATCACGTTGAAGAATTTGCCGCGTGAAAATATCCTGTCGGACAGCGAGATGCATGGACGGGCATAGATGGACGTGTGGTCACTAACGAGGCTCAATTGTGAGCTGTTCCCGACCATGTCGTTCCGCGCGATCCAAGTACGATGATCTCGAGACCAGAGCACAAGATGATAATGGGGAGACAGGATTCTGTCAACTGCCGGCTCTATGATTGCGAATACACTAGTGGGTGTCAGGCTGAATATCCCCCGTGCCAGAAATGTGAGCCGTTTCAGGAGTGCGTTGACGGACCGATGGGCTGTCTTACGCGGTACCTTTGCGACAACACTCTACCACCGACTGCCGATGTATGGGACCGTGTTCAAATATTTGTTGAATCAGTAGTTGTCGATACGTAGCCGTTTCATAGCATACGAATGAAGTAGAATTTGGTATGCATTTCCAGATTGTGCTAGGCAGCATACATTGGCATTTGTGAATTCGATATTTGACTTCGCCTAGATGGCTTCTCTGGTGCTTTTTTAAGCTGTAGTGATTATTTCTATTGAAGTATCGCGAGTCCTGAATGCTGTATCACGGCTTCCCGTTGTGGTATCAAACTAGCCGATGCGACGGAACATCCGATTGTTTTGCTGGGAGAATTGGCGAAGAGGGTAGCCAGAAGGATCTCCGTATTTGTTGCGAGCCATATCTAAGAGCCATATACGTTGACATGTTTGATCACTGCCTAATACGTCGTTGGGCATCGAAAGTGTAGTGGAGGAAGACAAAACCTCGTCTCCGTCCAGGTAGATTCTGGCTAACGACAACTCGCGTGCGTCGGTCGAGTTGACATGAAAATATTCAGGTATTGTGTTTGCATCTAGCGAACGTAAAAGTCCTTTTACGACCAGATGTCCGCCAGAGACGGCCCCGAACTGGTTGTTCGGGTCGACCGGAAGAACTTCGCATTGGATGACTTCTGCTACTATATTCTTCGTGTCGAATGCCCCAAAAAAGGCAACCGTTCCCTCGACAGAAGCCCATGACCATGATAGCGCGCAATATCTTGTTGGTCGCCTAGGTTGATCGTCTTTGAGCGCCACTTGAGTCGGTCGACTAGATAGTTACAGATTTGACATTGGGCCGATGCTGCGAGTAAGTCTTTCGACTGGAGAAATGAAGTGAGACCTTTGCTTCTAGACATCTCAAAATCCTGTCTGCTTGATACAAATCCACATACTCCCCAACAGACAGCACACGCTTCTCGCGACCCAAGCTCCATGATGTCCATATCAGATCGGCTGTACAATGAGATATAACATTGAAAGAAAAAGATGTAGAAGCAGCAATGCGTTTGCTAACAGGTGGAGCAGATGGCAGGTATCTCGCCCCGCAACAACAGTCAGGAGCTGCAGAACGGGTCTGCAAACACTGATAAAGATCCCGCTTACCTGATCCGTAGTCTCCCAATTCCAATGCGACGTGCTTGGCGGACACTTTAGAGTCGTGCTTGGTCATCTACCCAAAGTCTTCACTAGAATTGTCCTAACTCTTTTGTTTGTATATCGGAAACTTCCAAAGTCTTATCATAGCTCATTGTGGCTACTTATCTCGCAAATATGCACGGGGGTTGAGCTCGTCTTGAGCGAATCCATCTGGACACTCACCACTTCCGCATTTGGCAGCGGTACCACCACGGGGCGTAGCATAGCACGTGTCCTCACAAGGAAAGAGTCTCCATGCTCGCCTACTCAACTCACCAAAAAAAAACACTTGACTCCACCAGAGAAGCAAGACCACTCAAGGTCGTGACAAAAATTTCCTTCATCCTCCACCAATACACGACGCCCTGGCAACAACCAGATACTTGCATGAACAACATGTCATCCTACTTCAACGAATACAACGCCTCAGTCTTGGCCATTCCAGCTTACTTCATCCGTACGTACAAGTTCTTTGATGAGAGATCAAGTGTAGTCTGTCTTTTAACCTAGCTCGCTCATGCTCAGTCTCATTCCTGCCTCACGCTCTTGCTGTGAATGTCGCTACTCGGGGTAACCTCCTCACTTGGGATAACCGCAACCCGCGCTCCAGCGACATGAAAGCCCAGCTCAAGCAGCGTCTGCCTGCTGAAACATATGGCAAGTACGAGCGTATGGAGGCTTGCCATGCCAACGGGATGGAGGTAAGATATGGAATAGCTTCTGTTCATCTGGTCGTTGAATTGACAATGACGGAACCTTCCTCTTTTCATTGGAGCGGTCGCCCTAGGGAACATAGCTGGGCTACCGCAGGACGAGCTTGCTACGTTTGGCGCTTCGTTCTTAGCTGGCAGGGTCGCCTATACGGTAGCCTACATCACCACTTCCACTCAAGCGTCTACACTCCTTCGCAGTGGACTTTGGATCGCAAGTATCTCACTGTGCTTCCGTACTATCATTCGGGCTGCAGGAACCATAACCAACGAGACCTAGGTTGGCGGACGATGTTGGGCTGAGCCGAGATACTGAGCATCAGGCTCGATGGATGGTCAGGGCACAAGACAGATAGGAACAAAAAGGACGCGGAGAGAGGATCTTATGTGACAACAATGCCAGTACCGCCTGCCTTACAATAGCCATGGTGTCCACTCTATGATGTGACGTTGTCCTCTGTGGAATATTGGAGCCTAACATAGGAAGTTGTGATGATCTGAAAGATGCTAGTACTTACTGAGAGGGATGTTACTCGATTAAGCTATGTCGTCTAGGCGTCTCGGAGAAGCCGCAGGTGATCCGTCTCCCTTTTAATGTGGCTCGAGAAGAAAAGGTGGTATGCGCATTGATCAACACAACGCCCCAAAACATGCCACGAACTACACATGGACTTGATCAGACGTCGATATACAGCGGTTGCCCAGTCAGTAGTGCGGATAGCTGTGGGTCCTGGAGCTCACGCAATCCTGGGGCAGCTGAGCCGATCGCCCAACCGAAGATAAATGGGTGCCTTGAGGTTCCACTTTAAGCCTTCAGGAGAGCCAAAACGTGTCAAGTTCTTAGTAGCGATCATAAGAAGCGTTCCAGGTAAAGGAGTAGCTGAAAGCAACAAGTCCCTCACCGCAACTCCTTCAACAAAACGACGATAAGCGATCGCCGCCGTTGTCACGTGTCAGTGGCACTTGCCAGCTTACGAACAGTGCCCAGACTTCGCCGCGCTTTCCACCACATCTCTTCAACGCAGCCCTTCCTGTGCATCGATTAGAGTACATCACATCCACCCGCCCCATCCCCGAATACCACCGACTCTCTTGAACCTGTCCGTAAGTCAATCGCTGCTGCATTGTTTTTTCTGCACTTGCTTTGTCCAACCCATAACGGGCGCCTGGCCAGCTCTCTCTTCTGGCCTCGAGTCGACTCCGCAACGGGCGCTCATTACGCCCGCGCCGACGATGCGCCTTTCGCCATGTTGCTCAATACACGCCGATAAGGCCACGATACTCTCCTCAACACTCTTCTGACAAGCAGCGTCGCAGGTTCGAGAGTCTATACACCGCCTTCCCACTCACCCTACTCGCACTACCACACACACCCACCGCAATCATGGGTCTCACATTTTCGAAGCTCTTCGACAAGCTATGGGGAAAGAAGGAGATGCGCATTCTCATGGTCGGTCTTGACGCTGCCGGAAAGACCACCATTCTCTACAAGCTTAAGCTCGGTGAAATCGTCACCACCATCCCCACCATCGGTACGTCGCCATCTACACCACAAGATTCAACAGGGACAATGCGCTGATTCTTCGCCTTACAGGTTTCAACGTCGAGACTGTCGAGTACAAGAACATCCAGTTCACCGTGTGGGATGTCGGTGGTCAGGACAAGATCCGTCCTCTGTGGAGGCATTACTTCCAGAACACCCAGGGTATCATCTTCGTCGTCGACAGCAACGATCGTGACCGTGTTGTTGAGGCGCGTGAGGAGCTCCAGCGCATGCTGAACGAGGACGAGCTGCGGGACGCTCTCCTCCTGGTCTTCGCCAACAAGCAGGATTTGCCCGTAAGTTTCAGCGACTGCGAACAAACATGTCGAAACGACTAACAATGCGATACTAGAACGCCATGAACGCCGCCGAGATCACTGACAAGCTTGGTCTCCACAGCCTCCGACAACGTGCCTGGGTAGGTTTCGAGTCGCCCCCACTTGCAAAGCGTGTCAGCTAACCCCGTACAGTACATCCAGTCGACTTGCGCTACCTCCGGAGACGGTCTCTACGAGGGTCTCGAGTGGTTGAGCAACTCCCTCCGCAAGGCCGGACACAACTAAGTTCGGCGGGCGCGAACCGTAATGTAGCGAGTCACGAAAATGCCAACAGTCTGCTAGCACAGACCCTCTTATAACGAACGCCCGCCCCATCGTTGTGGCAGAGCCCAGCCACGACGCATCTCTACCAAACCACGGACCCTGAAATGTATTTGCATTGGTGTCAAATGTCAGATCGGATGGTGGAGCGGAGACACATGGTTTCTCTTCTCTTTTCACCATTGGAGTTTGTGTGAAGTACTATGACATTTCGTTTCTGGGATCGTTGGAAGATCAGTTCTCTGGTTACTTTACGTGGTACTATCAAATTTGAGTCTCTTCTTAGTATTCATTGTTTTGATTGCATGTGCGTCGAGTGATTTTCAGTTTGCTCAGAAAGATTCATTGCTCTATTCACATGTAGGGCTACATTGCGCAAATCGTAATACATGCCAGAACGCCAGTCATCCCCACCCAGACCCTCACGCTACCCATGCAAGGTGAGAAATGTTGAAAGCTTGCTGTTGGGTGTTCCATTTCAAATGGCGCCCATGTTCGATATAGAAGCGGAATACTCAACCCAGGTTCAGGACGCGGGTGCAGCCTGCTGCCCGTGTGAGCTCTTGGGCGGTGCGTTCTCCTTGGCCGCTGTGATTGGCGGAAGCAGACCCTTCTCAGCCCAAAGGTCGACCAGCGGCTGCATGGGCTCGATCTCCTTGTCCCCAATCAAGTTGAACAGCTTGCCGACGTTGATAAAGTGGATGAAGCAGGTGTTGAGTTCCTTGTACGCACTCACGTTCCAGAAGGGGTCTAGCCAGTGACCGTGGTAGATGTGCGCATAGCACCGCATCATCTGGCGATAGATACTTTTGATATCACCCTCAAAAGTCTCGGGGAAACCAGACGACTTGCCGAGCCACTCGCGCCCTGCAAGTTGAGACAATGGAGCATTGGAATTGGTAGGTGGGAGAGGTTGTGGGGTTGAGGTTGGTGTCATCGAACCAGAAGCGTACGTTGATGCTCCGATGGAAATGGCTGTGGTGTCTGTGGGGAAGATGTTGGGGTCGTTGATCTTGCCTACAATCCACTTTTGTACGAGGTTGATGTATTGAATTGCGGGGATCTTGATGGGCTTCTTGTTGTTGTCTAGCCAGGTGTATGTATGGCCGCTGGCAGACATTGTAGGGCATGTATCTGGATTGCAGACAGGCTTGCCTGTCCGGTCGTCTACCACTTTGATGATTTCAATCATTTGCTCCAGTAGCCTGTACTGCTCGACAACTGGTCACATGCTTAGCGACATCGGGATATTAGAAAAATACAATCATACCCTGATGTGCGAGCCATTCACCCTCTTCAACAAGCTTTGGCTTTGCAGCCAAAGTCATAAAATTACCCTTGACGATCAAGTTGGAGTACTCTTCGCGGAAGAAGAAAGGCGGTCTGCGGGAGCCAGACGGCACGGACCCATCCGACGGGGCACCTTGGCTTTCGAACGACATGGCAGACGATAAAGCTGGAGAATGGGGCATGGGCGGTTGGCCAGGAGGTTGTTGAGAAGTTGGTGATGCTGAGTATGGAGTTGTTGGCGATGCAGAGCCACCTTTGCCCTGCTGCTGCTGGCCCTTGTTGGATCGACCAGCCAATCCTTGGCGACTATCGGTGAAGTTGTTAGAAAGAGGAAAAGACAACTTCAGGCCTCGGACGACGCGAGTTATAACACAATAGGACGGCAATGTGACGCCAAAACAAGGTGCATATCAGGAAGTGAAATCGTGAGACGACATGCAGCAAATGGCCTGAAACATTCAAGGCTGTGTACTGGGGGGTGGGAAGCGCGAGCATTTGAGGAAGGGGAGCATGTGCCAAGCAACTTACACGTTTGCGAAGAAAGAGGCCATGATTTGCGGATTCTGGCAATCTAGTGCGGGGGGTACAGGGCGGATACGTCCAATGCACCTAGAGAGGCCGGCTTATGAAGGTATGCAAGAGGATTGAGGGGGAGGATGTTGGTGATACGTCTCGAGCGGGCACGCTTTTTGGGCCCACTCTCCTAAGGGCTGCATCGAGAAGGGGCGACACGCTAGGTCGGATTTGGATAGCGCGATTCTCATCTTCTGGGTGGTCGGACTTTGTTCATTTGAGCTATCAACTGCTGCGCGTACCTTTACCGGAACTATCACATTAATTTCATTCGCAACTTCGGTACTACCGTCGCGTCGCTATATTTGACGTTAATTGAATACGGCACCAACAAAAAGCGCAATCGAAGCCACCAACCGCGACCATGTCCGACGCGGGCCACGACCCAACGCTCTCCGACGAAGAAGTCAATGACCAGGCAACTCCTGCTGAGAATGCTGACGAGAGCACCCCGCTGAATACTGTCGAAGAAAACGGTCTGGAAGATGATGAAGATGACCTATTTGGTGACGGAGACGGAGACGCGGGTGAAGATGCGCCAGCGTACGTCGCGAAGAAACCTACTACCAGTATCGGACTGACATGTTTAGCGAGCACCGAAAACTCGATGATGCAGAGCTCGATTCAGGCGATGATGAGGGGCGGGCAGATCGCGTCAGGGCACCAGAAGCTGTAGAGGAGGTCGAGCAACAGACGTTCGCATACATGGACGCAGACCTGGCGCGACATCCCATTCCCGAGCCGACCGATAATGAGCTCTACCTTCTCAAAGTCCCACGCTTTTTGTCATTCGAAGACAAAGCATTCGATCACAAAACCTTTCAGCCACCTACTACAGACCATCACTCCAAGGTCACCGCGTCTGAACACTTCTCCGCCTACAACACTGCCATGACCACAGTCCGATGGCGACGCTCACCCTCAAACAACGCTCTTCTACAGTCCAACGCTCGAATTCTGAGATGGTCGGACGGTTCCCTTACCCTGCAGCTTGCGACCGACCCGACGACCCAGTATGACATCGATGCGAATACCCTTGCTCCACCACAAGTCAATCCCAAAATTCCCACCCCAACGGCTGTCAGGGACGAGAAGAATGGCAAGACAAGCTCAAAGAAGGAGAGCTATACATACCTCGTTGCGCCATACGAGGAGGCAAACGTCATGCGCGTTACGAACAAGCTCACAGCATCTCTCAACATTGTACCTACATCGAATACGAAAGACGCCGCGCTGGAGAAGCTACAAAACGACCTTGCCAAGGTCGCAGCAAAGGGCCGAGACGATGCCGACCAAGCCATATCCTTCATCGACGTAAACGAAGACCCCGAGCTCCGTCGACAACGTGAAGAAGCTACATTCAAGGAGAAGCAGAGACAATTGCGCGCTCGCGAAAAGCACGAAGAGCGCCAGAGAGAACGTGCAAACCGTACTATGGGCCGCAGCGGCGGTCGCGCATCAGGAGGTCTCGACATCGATGGACTGGAAGACCGCGCAACTCGGAAACAATCCAAGCAGAAAAGTGGCTTACGGCGTGATTGGAGTGACGACGAAGATTACGGTGGTCCAAGGAGAAACAAAGAGGACGACTACGACGAGGAGGATGACTTTATCGCTGGTAGTGACGAGGAACCAGAGGTTGTTAGCGACGATGATGATCCAGATGAGGGCATTGCGCCGAGCCCAAAACGTGCACGGGGTGGTGTTGCTGCAGATGATGATGACGACGATGAGGTCGTTGTTAGCCGGACGAAGCGAAGACGTGTGGTCGATGACGATGACGACGATGAATAGGCTCGTCAAAGAGGTCGTTATTTGCGCAAGCAGCGTCTCCCCTATTCTCAGCCCTCATTATGAGGGCTCGGGTCTAGCAACGAATGTTAGGAAAGTAGAGCATGGCGGGTATCTCCGCGGCACGGTCTGGTGCGATGTACAGTTCACGATCTCTTGGAAATCGTTATACTTTCACTCTGGGGTCATCAGCATAGCCAGGAATTTGGACGCATCTATGCATCACATCTATTAGTTCTACTATTGATATATTACACGGAGAATGGTGTCACTTCACGTTCACGTTTACGTCTGACTTAGACCAATGGCTTACTGCATGATAAAGCTCATGATTTCTGGTTGTACTTCTACCGGCCAGCGCGCGATACCCACTACTCCGGTATACTAAGAAAGTGCAGGGTTACGAATTCTGGTAAGGCCTCACACTTCCTGGGATATCCGCTTATATCAGGTATTCGCTTGCCTTTTATATCCTAGTGCGCTGCATACTCGACTCGTGCGCATTCATGCTTCGCAAGTTCATACGTTGAGTCACTTGGCTTTGCGTATGTTCATGTAGCAGTCTGTTCAGCCCTTTTATGACAACAATCACGACATAGTTACTTTCTACATTCACTCGACATGTCTACACAAGAACCGCTCCATCTAGGATGGATAGGCCTAGGATCCATGGGTCTAGCCATGGCAACAAATATCCAGAAATACCTCAGACAACAAAACTTACCTCAACTGAAGTACTGGAACCGTACTCTCTCCCGAGGTGATGATTTGAAAGATATTGGGGGCACATCCTGCCGTTCAATCGCAGATTTGGTCCAAAGTTGCGATGTGATATTCATCTCCGTAAGCTCTTTATTTGATATGAAGAAGTTCGTTTTTTTAGTCGTGTCTACCCCTGAGAAGATATACGCAGTAGTTTGCGTCGATATCACAACACACAATTGACAGTGTATGCCTGCAGAGTACCTCTTTGGGATGGGCACAACAAATCACAAGGAACAAGCATCTCCATACGTGGATCGCCATGAACGTACTTGAGTTAACAGCGCATAGGTCAGCGACGACACCGTCCTCCAATCCGTCGTAGAAACTATCCTAAGCAGCGGTCCCATAACCTCCAAAACCTTCATCGACACAACAACAGTCCATCCCACCACCACATCGACCATCACCGCCAATCTCACCTCCGCAGGCGCCTTCTACATCGCGGCCCCCGTCTTCGGTGCTACCCCCCTCGCTCAAGCCGGCCGTCTACTAGTCGCTGTTGCTGGCCCTCCTCCTGCCATCGAAACCGTACTTCCGTTTCTCGAAAACGTCATAGCGCGTGCTGTAATTAGAGTGGGTTCTGAGCCCTCTCAAGCCCTCTTGCTGAAAACGACAAGCAATTTCATTACTGCAGGTCTGATGATGCTGCTTAGTGAAGCACATGTGTTGGCTGAAAAGAGTGGACTACCAGCTTCTGTTCTTGAGTCACTTGTTGAAGAGAATTTCGGAGCATACGCACACGGTGTGTCTAAACGGTTGACCAGTGGGAGCTACCTACCTGCTCCTGGTCAACCACCTTCTTCGGGTTTGGAGCTTGGAATCAAGGATGTAGGACACGGGGTTAATCTGGCGAGGGAGGCGGGGATGGAATTGCGGATTGGAGATATGTATCTTGGAGCGGCGGAAGAGGCCAAGGCCTATGGAGACAAGAATGGGAGGAGGTGTGATAGTAGTGCTGTTTTTGGAACTGTGAGGAAGAGAGCTGGCTTGGAATTTGAGTCAGACGGGGTTAGAGAGCGAGATGCGAATACGACAGAGGAGCGGGTATGAGCTAATGATATATGTAATTGGTAGTGGAAGATAACATTACCGAGAGAATATTTATGAATAAACGATGGTGAAACGGTATGCGTGGAGAATACAACAAACACTTTCAATTCGTTACATTGATAGACTAAACTCCGTTAGCATGGAATTGTAGCGTCAGAAGGCTGGCAAGGCGTACGCAAGGTCGTCATTGCAGAAGAAGAGAACAGTGACAAAGCGAAAACATTGACAGATGATTGAGATCTATTTGTAGGCGAGCTATCACTTTTAGTCTATGCAAAGATGAGTAAACAAAGCGCCTCTATACCCAGCGTTTCTATTACGCTCTACTACGCACCGCTTTCTGCAGCTTGTCGTTCTGCCTCTACTTCTGCAATGACGACCTTGCGTACGCCTTGCCAGCCTTCTGACTTCTGGACGTGGCTGACTCTCCTCGGCTTGTCTTCAAGACCCTTGAACTCAACTGGCAGTACCTTCTCTTGGAAGTACTCCTTCTGCTCTGGCAGTGCGAGCTCTACAGCGTTCGCAAACTTGGCCGGGTGCGCTGTTGCGAGCGCAATGTGATGTGTGGATGGAGGCTTAGACACCTCAGCTGAGCGTAGTGCCGCATGGATACCGATAGCGGAGTGTGGGTCCAGGACGTAGCTCTTTGATGACTCTGCATTGAAGACGTCTTTGATGGTTTGGATGGTCTCCTCGTCGCTGACGCGATACGAGGCAAAGTCAGACTGTGCGGCTTCGAGGATTTGCTTGTCGACGGCAAAGCCACCGTTCGTCTTCAAGTCATTGAGCCAATTCCGCACGTGGTCGCCAGCTTGACTCCGTCGTTGCGACACTGCGTCTGAGTTTGTGCTGTACACATCGTACGACAAGAACCAGAGCAATCGCTCAAAGTTGGACGAGACGAGAATGTCCATAGCCGGGCTCAGCGTCTCCTTGACTCCACTCTCGTGCGCTTTAGCACCATCCTCAGGAATGCCACCCTCAGCCTTCTTTCCGTGCACGGGCTTCTTCTCGTACTTGCCGGTTTCCCAGAAGCGGTGTAGGATGTCGTTCTCGTTCGTAGCGATGACCAGCTTCTCGGCGGGCAAGCCCATGCGCTTCGCGAAGAAGCCAGCAAGGATATCGCCAAAGTTGCCTGTGGGCACGACAAAGCGGACGGCAGACGCAGGGAGGAAGGACGGCTGCTTGATGAGGTCGAAGTAGGAGTAGAAGAAGTAGGTGATCTGCGCGAGGATACGAGCCCAGTTGATCGAGTTGACGGCGGCGAGGCGGTGCGTCTTGTTGATGTCGGGGTCTGCGAAAAGGGCTTTCACAAAGTCCTAGGACGCGTTAGTTCTGTATTGCGATTCCGTCAAGGGTACGTACCTGGCAATCGTCGAATGTGCCGTCTACAGCCAAGTTGTGCACGTTGGCGTCCATGACGGTCGTCATCTGCGCTTCTTGGATTGGGCTGACCTTGCCATGCGGGTGCATGATAAAGACCGACACATCCTTCTTTCCGCGCAGACCGTAGATGGCTGCTGAGCCGGTATCACCACTTGTCGCGCCAATGACAGTCAAATGTTCCCGGTCGCGTCCGGTCTTGCCCTGGTTCTTGCGGACAAGGAAGTACTCGAAGAGGTTACCCAGGAATTGCAGCGCCACATCCTTGAAGGCGAACGTAGGACCGTGGAACAATTCCAGCAGATGTATGTTCTTCTCCTTGTCGAGTGTGACGGTGGGTACGACGTCTTTGGCGCGGAATGTCGAGTAGCTGCGGTGGATGATGTCTTTCAGGTCTGCAGAAGGGATCTCGGACGGGGAGATGTAGAGGGAGAAGATCTCGAAAGCGAGGTCCGCAAAGGAGAGGTCTTTCCACTTGGATGCCCAGTCGGCGGGCAGCGTGGGGATTTCTTCGGGGATGAAAAGGCCACCGTCGGAAGCGAGACCCTTGAGGACGACTTCCTCGAAGGAGAACTATGCCCTGTTAGCAACCGCCTGAGCGCATTCTCCGCCGGGTCCTTCTCACGTCATAGGATCCTCCTCGGGTACTCAAGTACCGCTGCGATGCTGTGTGTGAAGACATGACGTGTAGAATCAATTAACAATCTAGCGCAACACAAAGTAGAGGGTAAGAAACGATGACAGGTGCTGTGTGCCTATCAAGGGCGATGTAAAGTAATGGTCCCCGTGGGGAAAAATGTTGTTGTAGCTCCGGAATCGCAGTTGAGTCAAGGGACTACTTCTCGCCCTGTCAAATTCCAGATCTCATGCACGGGTGGACTAGACTGCTGCATGATGATAACTGGCGTCTAAATAGCTTGGTCAATGATCGTCTACGAACTGAAAAGCGCGGCGAAGGCCTACATGCTTCATTGAAGGCAATTGCGTTTGTCTTGCTGCCCCGCCATACACACATGTCCAGCCCCGCCATGCGCTGTGCCTGCATCAATGGCGATGTCGGCACCAGCACATGACAACATCGGCGAATACTTCCCGCATACACACGAGGTTGTTTATCAGAAACTGCAACGAACACCCTGGGAAGAAAGATACATTATCTTGTGTTTTATAGATTTCTAGACATAGAACACCACGAATACCTTTTGGGTAGGTTTCGTCAAGGCGATAATATACAGCCAAAGTCAGGTCTGCGTACAACACCACTTGTCGACAACTCGTATACTTCAGTATCGAGCTTACATCAGTCCTCATAAGTAAGAAACGTAGCGACTACCTTCAGGGTGCGTTTTAGTGTTGGTGCGATTTGACGTAACGAGGTTCTTGCTAGGCTGCTGCTCAATGTTATGTGCAACATCTATGTTAGAGAAGACGCTATGCACTTTCACGTCACTGCGCTTGACTGTTGCTGCGCTTTCGCTATGCTTCGTGCTCACCAGTCACCAGTCAACAGTCACCAATCGTCACTCATCCATGGATCAGCCTTACCGCCTACCTCATGAATTACTGTTCGCTTGCGCTATGTATGCACGGCAAAGCTGGCAATGTGTTTATGAAGAACTCCTTCTTTCTAATCTGTACCGCGTACTGAAAGTCTACCCTGAAGGTATACACCACGTTGTATCTTTTTAGTCTACCACTGCCAAACGTAGTGTATACTTCTAGGGTGTATCATGGGCTACAAGTTAGAAAAGGCAAGCATCTTCGTAGACGGTAACCACGGCACCACAGACCGGATGTCTTCACGGTATTTCGCTCCGTGGCTATCATAAACTGACCGATATCCGTCGTGATAGACCTTCCGACTCATTTGGTCTTGATGAGAACCCCACTCCAAGATGAACGGGACTCTTTTGCGAATCGCGCATCGAGACAGACTTCTCTGACGGTGGAGCCTGGATAGCCTCGCAGTGCTTTGCTTTTACGCGCTTGGTCTGTAGAACATGTTGAAGTGCTACAGCATCTATTATGAGCGCAGAGATTGTGGGATGTCAAGCCAAAGTAGACGTCCAGCGCGGCCATATTCGCTAGAGATCATGAGAGTACGTAGCAGCTCGGTCGTTTGGAGAACTACATCTTCGAACTTTCCATAGTACGATCTGGCCGTGCTACTCCCGTGGTACCACAGCGATGCGAATGATGGGTCATGGTAAGGGGATCTCATTCCGAGACTTTGTGGTTGTCGTGTATTACCGTGGAGGCTGGAGGTATTCGAAATACTCTACCCGATATCTCCCAATGTAAACATACCTCGACATGATTCAAGCTCTATTTTGAGCAGACTTGCACAGGTATGAAGAGTCCATGTATGTAACAACTATGTAGCTTGAGCAAATCTCTGGTAAGCGGATTGACGGTGGGAGAATACGCGTTTCATTGCATGAATATCTTTATCGTGATGTAACCTTTTGTATCTGTTGACAAGCAATACTGTATACCTCCAGACTGCGGTTTGCTTCTGGGAGACCAAGCCTCATCGTACTATGCGTTGCGCGCGGCCAGTCGGCAGCACGCCGGCAATACAGCGGGGTCGGCAGAACACCGGCAGCAAATTCTCGTCTGCCGGCGCACAGATGTGCAGACTTTGCGCTTTTTCGTCTGTGCCGACGTGGCCCGTGCGTGTCTCCTCTGTCTACTTAAGCTCACCGTTCCTCGTCCTCCTTTCTGTTCATTATGTCGATCATACTTCATAGAATCATTTCTAATAGTATGCATCCTCTTCTGAGTTACTCTAAGTAGCCACAGAATCTCCATCCTGGTTGATGACTATCAGCCTCGATGTCCCGGAGTGAGGCCTTATTTACGATTGCTTCGGCGATCGTGGCGATGATCTTCAGCTAACCGGCTGTGTACTTCGGTCACACTGGAAGGCAGGACGTTGACGGCAATCTGACAGGCCTTCTTTTTTCATTGATCTCTTCTGGCTTGCCAGTTGATCGAGGAAGAAAATCTCAACAACCCTACAACTTCATCTTGGATTCGACTTGTCGCCCAAGTATACACCTGAATGTCATTCTTGATATGCGCATTTCTTTGATGGCAGCAATGCATGGAAATCTATCAATCTATGAGGCCTGCAGTTCCCTGTGCACTTCTTAGCACCACCCATACTTTTCATTTGCAATCCAGTCAATCTTGTCAGCAACTGGTCCATCGTGTTCTGGGTACCACTGCAAGCACGCGATGCTCTCCATATCCCTGTGAACGACCTCCGCAGTTGGGTCTAGCTTCTTCGCAGCTGTCAGCGCCGTCGGTGAGGGTGCCCACATCTCTACATGCTCCATCTTCCATTTCTGTGCCTCCTCCTGCGCCATCGCTAGGAGTGCTGCAACAGCAGCATCGTGGCTATGGTTCTCAGACCCGCCGTTCACACTGCCCGAAGAACCTTCCCAGCTACCGTCCTCGATGACCAGGCGTAGGATATGCAGCGTGTTGCCCTTGGCTTCGGCTGGATTTCCGTTGTACCACATCCTTGTCCAGTAACACCAGATGCGCTTGCCCTTCTCCGTACCGACAACTGCTCCTTTGATCTCCGGTTTCTTGCCGTGCAGCTCATTGCCTACGAACTCCTCACGCGCGTGGTGCCATCGGATCGTTTCGATATTAGGTAGCAGAGCAACTGCAGTGTTGCTGTCCTTGGGTCGAGACTCCAGACTCTGGCGGACAGAGGCTACGTCAATCTTGCATAGCTCCTCCAGATCCCCTGCGTACAATGGACGGGCGGTGGGTAGGCCGCTCGTGTCCTGAGAAGTGGTCGCAGGAATAGAGACGTGTGATGAAGTAAAAGGTTCCCAGCCAAAGGTGTTGTAGAATTTCTGTCTTTGTCAGCAGTGTACCGCCGTAGGGTGTCAGAGCTATCCACCTTTCCAATATCAGAGTATAGGATCGAGAACAAACACTCTTGACCATCTTCAGTCTGATATGTTTTCAGCGCCTTACCGAGCTCCGTCATCATCCGTTGCGCATATCCCCGCTTGCGCAGATGATTTGCACAGAACACACTGCCAATGCCGTGACATATGACCTCCTTCAGTTCCCCTTTCTGCCATACTAGCGCCTTCTTCCGGTACGTTTCGCAGCTCGCCAATGGTAGCCGGGTGCCTGAATCTGGGTCCAGAGGGTTATTTGGCAAAGAGGTGTCAACCAAGATCCAGTACGAGATGCCGCCATCGCGCGTTAGGGTCTGCTCTGAAAGTGTAGCCTCACGTCGGAGGTAGGCGGGAAGGGAGAGTGCACCGCGCCATTCGCTTCCGTTGAGATTGAACTGTATCTGCTTTTCGGCTTCGGTAGGATGGACAAGCGCTAGAGAAGGAGCGTTGCCCTTGTTGAGGTTCTCGAGTGCAGGTGTGATAGCCATGCTGTAGGTAGATGTATATCTAGTTTCGGCACGATAGGTTGACCCTCTGCGAAGCTAGCTACCTAGTGGACTCTTATATCTATCTTTTGACGACACTTGTCGTAGGGCGTGACAGGCGCAGATTCGGTCCTGCCCAGATGCAGTCCGCCAGATCAAGAGGCTGTAACGACTCAGTAGAGAGGAAATAGCGGGTCCAACTACGTCGGTATTGCTTTAGGATTCGGATAGCTAAGGAACAAAAGGAAGTTGGTACTTGTAGCTCTTTGTCTAGTCCAGGGCGCCCCGCGTTTTGACGACTCCATTCCGACTTGATCTCCGTGTCATCTTATAGCTGACCCCATATCTCCACAAAGGCATTCCGAGCATACATCATTTTCCTCGCGGCCCGAGGTGTGCCGTGGCAAAGCGAGGGTTGGATGTCACAGCTTACCACGGGTCATGTGCGGGTGTCACATTCGGGAGTAGCTCGTGTCTTGCATCAGGCCCAGACATCAAGGCAGGAGTTTGCGTGCCATGGACTCACACACTTCGCACATCCATTGGCAGCGTCTCCGATAACGATTGCAGACTTACTTCTTCTCAGCCTTGTGCGATGTGCGCGCAGGTTTGTGACAAAATGGTTAGCGGCAGTTGAGCTAGCGGGACCAGCGAACTGCACGATCATCTGGGCGAGACGCCCATCTCCCGCGCTCGAAAGCGGCGTAGCATCCCTTCGCAACGACATGTCATCTCTGTTTAGCTGAACACTGGCGGCGCTGTGATGGCTTTTCATTGACACCTGGGTATGCGCTGTTGTGCCACATAGCTACTGCCTTTGCTCTCTCACCTTACTGGTGCCGTTGCCCGTTCCGCTCGCTGTTCCGCGATAGCTCTTCGGTCTCCCGCCGGCCTGCGCCCTGGAACACTCACGCCGCTGCGAGCTGAAGTGCGAAACACCTGTCAATCTCCTACTTTCGCTTTGCTTCTTCTTGTTCTCCTTCAGCTAGTGCCCATCAGTCGGTGAGAGGCCTCCGACAACTGGTGGGGTGAGTGACAAGGCTACATCCAAGTGAATTAAGCTGGCCTGAATCACGTAAACACTACACACGTTTGCATCTCCATCGCCCCCTCACTCCTTCCCCAGGTCTCGACTAGATACAATTAATTTTTAATATTTGGTCTTCTTTTTCCAGGATCCACAAGAACTGCCCAATCGCTTCGATAACAACCCCTCGCAGTCGAAACTACCATCAACCAGCCTTACAACTTAAACATCCCCAATGGCTCCGACTGGCATCCTTCAGGATTTTGAAGTGGTTGAATTGCTCTCTGATAGTGGGGCGGAGGATGAAGGCCTCGCGAGTCGCGAATTGGAGGCTTTCGACGCAAGATCTGCAGCGGAATTCGCTCACGGCTACCTTGATATGGATGACCCTATCGCAGATTTCCACGCCCAATTCCAGGCAAACGATCGCCAATTGATCGACTTGACCGAAATTCCAGACATTGATGTTCCGCCATCTGACGCTATTATGGTAAACGACGAAGAGCCACGGCCAGAGGGACGAGCTCCTGACTGGGATGGGGACGCTGCGGTTGTCACCGAAGCTGCCTGTTTACAGATGGTATTGAGCGTGTTGCCGGACATCTCGGTCGATTACGTTCTCAGACTGATCCAAGAAAAGACGACAGACACCACGCGAACAACAGCACAGTGCGAGCATTTCCTCACTGAGCTATTAGAAGGCGAGCCGTATCCCAGAGAAACTGACGACGCGAAGAACAAGAAAAGGAAGAGGGATGACGAAGCCGAGGATGAGTTGAGTACCTACGAGAAAGGCGAGCGTGATCCTGAGATCGGCGGTTATGAACATGATGCGTAAGTACTCACTCCTTCACAAGTTCTGCAACGCAATGCTTGTGATTTGCTGGCTTCGCAAATCGATGCGGTATCAAGTTGAGGCACACTGTCATTCCACGCTCATCTTGAAGCGAGTATTCCAGGGGTTTGTCACGCCTGGAACCATGGAACAATTGCCGTGGTCATCACGATTAGAATACGGGCCAGCGCAATACCAGCAACGTTGACAGCACCTAAGTAGTCATGTGTTACGTTCTTAATCTACATCCAGCATCCTGGCGTCGTCTTTATACCTTTCTGCCCCTCTCATTCATCGTTCTAACATTACTTTCCACAGAACAGAGCTGCTGAAAGACGAGTTCCTTACCGTACCTGTACGGCATATTACGAGAGTTCTCAAGGAGCAAAAGACTCTTTACAAAGCCTACGGCGTCATTGAACGACAAGTGCGCGACTACGCACATGTTGCTAAGACATTTTCGCTGATCAACAAATCACGCAACAAACGTGGCATACAGCTTCAGTTGATTGAGCAAGGCAGTCAGATACCCAAGGAATTGCATGCGGCAAAGAAGAAGAGCGAAGTTGAGGCCGGCAAGTGGCATCTCACAATCGCCTATTCGTTGGTTCCAAACTAACAGTCAACAGCTAAACGCCAGAAAGTCAAAGACACAGAACTGGCCGAAGAAGCCAACCTAAAACAGGCGGAGATGAACAATGAGATGGGCGAATGTGCATGCTGCTTCAACGACGTTCCCCTGAACCGCATGATTAGCTGTAACGGAGACACTATCCATTTCTACTGCGTAGACTGTCCTCGTCAGCAAATTGAGACGCAGATGGGTCAGTCTCGCTGCAGACCCAAGTGTTTCGGAGTCGACGATTGCAACGGAACGTTCACGCGTCGTCAGCTGCAACAGGTCTTGAGCGATACGACCTTCGAGCGACTGGAACATATGCAGCAAAGAGAAGACTTGGAAGCGGCGGGTTTAGACTTTCTCTCCGAATGCCCATTCTGCGACTTCAAGATGGAGTGTCTGCCAGTCGAGGTCGACAAGGAGTTTCGATGTGAGAACCCCAAGTGCAGCAAGACGAGCTGCCGCCTTTGCGAAAAAGAGTCGCACATTCCACTCAGCTGCGAAGAATTCAAGAAAGACGGCCAGTTAACTTTACGACACATCGTCGAAGAAGCTATGTCGGCAGCCCTGATACGGCATTGCAACAAGTGCAAGCACCCATTCATCAAAGAGCTTGGCTGCAACAAGATGACATGCACGCACTGTAGGAATGTGCAATGGTAAGTCGCTAACCTGAAGGTATACTGGTACTTTAGCTAAATGAAATCTAGCTACGTCTGCTCCAAGAATGTGACTGATTATAACCACTTCGGCGAGGCTGCGGGAGGCAAGTGCCCTCTACACGAGAACATCGAAGACCGCCATGAACAGGAAGTTAAGAGGGCAGCCGATGAGGCCATGGCAAGAGTTCGGGCCGACAATCCAGGGCTGTCAGATGCAGATTTGATGGTCAAAGTATCAGATCGTGTCAAGCAAGCAGAGGATGCGCGTAAAGGCCGAGCAACCGTAGAAGCGCAAGCCTTTCCTTACCACATGGTTGGAGAGCAGCTCAGACGTGCCCCCATTGTACCTCCCATACCTGCAATGCCGGCCTATGCCCATCCTCCACCGCCAAATTTCGGCCCAGATCGGTATGTGCATCCCCACCCAGGAGTTGTTCCTGTACCTGCCTTTGGATACCCTGTCCAACCGGTCCCCTTCTATCAACCTTTCTATCCTGTTCAACATGTGGGATACTATGGTGCTGCTCCACCGCAGCAGCCATATCCGCAATTCATACAACGGCCAATGGTCGCGCCATGTCCACGCTGTCTCTTGTATCATCCGCCTAACCAATGTTGCTAGACTTCGGCCAATAGACGCCCCTTGGAATATGCTTCCACCTAATCCTCTCCGGCAGCTCGTCAATGGGATCGAACAAGTCGACGGACCAGTTCAACAAGCACATCGTCCCATTGATGCTATGGCTGTCCTCCCTCCTAATCCCTACGGCAATTTCCGGGATAGACGAGCGGTACGGCTTCAACATGCCGACCAGCGGCAGCGACAGCCCAACCGTGATGCTCAACAGGCTCAGCCCCGCCTTGGGCTTCTACAGGCTAACCGCCATCTTGAAGAGGTCCGACTCGAACAACAGCAGCGACACATGAGGCAGCTGCAGGGGCTTGAAGCTAATCGTGCGCAGCTAGCAGAGAGGCGACGGAACGTTGAGGTGCAGCTTGAAGCTCATCGAGCTGTGATGGTTGAGAGACGCCGGAATCGTGCCCCAGCGCCAAGGGCTGCTGGAAGATAGTGTGCTTTGAGGATGGTGGCTGTTCGTTTCTTTTACTTTACAACTTTCACAGTATCACATAGCATGGCATCTGAGGGACTTCAGGTATGCATGATGCGTATCTGCATGAGCTATTTATAAAAGATGGGGAACATTCAGTATCGTCTAGAATATCTAGGTAGTAGCACAAGGATGGATATCGTAATTTAGCCTATCAATGCATCTACCCGAAAACACTAGAGAAACTTGTCTTTGTACTATCCTCTTCTTTGCTATCGAATTTAGCTTTGCCTTCTTCTATCCACGTCTCAAACCTGAAGACACCCGCTTGCACAGTGCGTACTGGCGTGACCTTGGCGCCACCCAGATCCCCTCCTTCCCTTTCTCTCCGTATCCCCAACTCGAACTCTTCTTCGTCGAACTCATCCCTCATCATGGCTTGCTTCCCTCTCCCCGTCTTCTGCAAACTAGGCTGAACCGGTATCCAGGGCTGCGGATGCCCAATCGGCGGATCGATATCGCCCTCATCTTTGAGCTCCATACTGATATTGAATGAGCAGTTTGGCGGTAACGGAGCGAGTGAAGAAGTACGCGCCGTAAGCGCAATCAACGCAGCGCGGTACTGTTCGCTGATGTTGACATCAACATCAACATCCAGTGGCTTTGTCTTCCGTCGTTTTGTGCTGCCATCATCATTGTATTCCTCTGGTGGCGGCGTCCCTCCCTCCCACTCAATCTCCATATTGCGATCAGGCCTGGCTACAACCGGGAATGCAGTAACGTCGAACATGTACCGTTCCATTATCTTGGCGCTACCTGACGCTTCGCCCTTACTCCCGTAGCTGAATATCACGACACCGATCTTTGCTACGGTCCCGTTGAGGAGCTCTTCGCGCACGGCGGTTATGGCGTCGGTGATCCATTCACAGACGAGGGGGTGGCGCGATTGGTAGACGGGTGTGTTGTGGAAGCGGGATTTTGCAAAGGAATTAGGTGGGTAGAGTTCGCGTAGGTAGAGGAGTGTGTGCGTGTAGGCTGTGAGGAAGGTCGTGAAGTGGGAGAGAGTTTCGAGGTAAGTCGGCGCCATTTTGGGGTAGTAACCGAGGAATGAATGGAAATAGCTATTCCTCGGTGCGATCTATGTGTGCTTGAATTAATTATGAACGTTCCGTGCACCTCTATTCGAAAATGGCCGTGATCATGACGCAGACGCGTCTCGTCGCGTGAAAGCCGCTAGCTTATCGACGGATGCCTGGCTACCTCAAGGCTCTAGTAGGGTTGCTGATGGGTATGGCAGATGTCGTGCGTATGTTGTGTTGATTGCCCCTGGCATTGTTGAGGATAACAACGTGGCAAACGAGTGAGGGTTGTGGAGGAGCAAAGGTGTAGTTGTCGCGTTTCCTCCCTCACGACAGGAAAGAAGCATTGTCGTCACCGCCAGTCGCAGCGCGTAGTGGGAATTGGCCACCTTCTACCTTACTACTACAACTCAACTGTTACCCCCGAATTGGCTCTTCTCCTGACATCCTAACGGTATATTCATCTGTTAGTCCGGGTAGGCTTATTGCTTCAGTTGTAGCATCCGCTTAGCCACCCCACTACCCAGAGATTCACGGAGTTGCCCCGCATCTCCGGGCGCGTTCTTTTTCCTCGTGCTCAATCGCCCAGCAACACCCATCAACAAACGCGTCAACAATTGATCCATCTTCCTCGCCAGCCGTTTTGGGGAGCGCTAGACGTGCCGACTAGCTCTATACGCGCATGCCCCACGTTGAACATGGAGGACCAACTAGTCCAGCTGCTATCAGCAACCCAAACCGCCCAAGAGGACACCCGCAAACATGCTGAGCAGCAGCTTCTCTCCCTCTACGGCCACCAGGAGCTCCCGTTAGGCCTCATTGGCATCGCCTGCCATGACAGCGTACCTCTCAACATCCGACAAGCTGCTCTGCTGTACCTGAAGAACCTCGTGCTGGCGGGATGGAGTTCCAGCCTCGATGAGTGGAAGGGACAGGCACTGGTCACAGACGAGAACAAGGCCATATTACGGCAGCAGCTACTCACCCTCGCCACACAAGACCAGCTCGACCGCAAGCTCAAGGCCGCCGCGGGCCTCGTCGTCAGCAAGATCGCAAGCGCCGACTACCCCATCGAATGGCCAGATCTCCTCGATAACCTTCTCGCACTGATACCGAATGCGACCGAAGGCCAACTACATGGCGCTCTTAGGGTCCTAGGTGAGCTGGTGGAGGACTCCTTCAATGAGCAGACCTTCTTCACCGTAGCGCCTCAGATGATCAAGGTCCTGTACGATGTGGCCACCAACGACCAGAGAAAGCCGACATTGCGAGCCTTGGCTTGCAAAGTCTTCCACGGCTGCTTCGACATACTCGAGATGGTGCTGGAGGATCACAAGACCATGGTCAAGAGCTTTGCCGACGAGATACTCAAGGAATGGATTCCCTTCTTCGTCAATGTCCTGAACACTAGACTACCCGATCCGCCGTCACAAGAAGAAGAGGACCAAGACACGCCAAATGCCTTGCTCTACAAAGGACAGATCGCTCTCAAGCTACAGTGTGTCAAGGTGAGCCATGTCGCATGATCCACTATAGTCTTCGCAATACTAAGCAGTTGGCAGGTCCTCATGCGCATACGATCCGTCTTCCCTGCCATCCTCTCGCCGCAAAGTATTGTCCTATTCCAGGCAACCTGGCAAGAGCTGTCATTACTCGAACCGGCATACTCTCTCATGTACATACAAGAGGATCGTCAGAGTAGGCTAGAAGACGCTGATGGACTGCCGTACACACTGGATTTCCTTATCCTTGAGGAGCTAGACTTCATGCAAGCGTGTCTTCGTGCACCTCCGGTCCGCGCGCAACTCGAGCAGGAACTCCAGAACCAGACACCTGACAACTCATGGGTCACCCAGGTTATGAAGCTGGCCGTGGCCTACGCGCAAATCACCACTGAAGAGGAGGGTCTGTGGGATGTGGATGTGAACATCTTCCTGAGCGAGGAGACGAGTGTGACGGCGAACTACACACCCCGTACGGCCTGCGGTGATCTCGTCATCAAGCTTGGCGAATGGCTTACGGAACCTACCGTCAACGGCTTGTTAACCTACACAAGAGTGCTCTACTCCCAGTCCAAGGGTTGGAAAGCTGAAGAAGCTGCGCTCTATGTGTTGAACCAACTATTGAGTGACTTCCAAGATGTAGAGAAGCAGATTAGCCCAGAAGCTGCGAGCGGCTATGTTGACTTCATCCGGTATGCTATGCAGCAGCCAGACGCTTTCCTTCGAGCACGCGGTTACCTCGTCGCCGGAAGTTTGACAAGAACATCCGGAGATGCTCTGCAACAGCTCGGCACATCGTTCCTCGAGGCATCTCTGCAGGCCATTCCATCTGACGAGTCCGACGTTGTTCAGGTGTCATGCATTCGAGCTCTGCAATACTATCTCCAGGCGCTCCCACACGCAACTACACAACCGATACAAAACACCATCATCATGTCTATCAGTAATTACCTTGCCACACAAGACATGTCAGAGCTTAGCGACAGTGAAGATCTCATGGTCACACTAGTCGAAACACTACGAGACGCTATACTCATTGACACGCGGATATGCATTACAGATAACGGTCTCGATACACTTTTCCGGGTTGCCAGCCATCAAGCCAACAACTTCCAGCTCACCATGCTGGTCACTGAGGCCTTCGAAGAGGTGACAGAGACTATCGCGCGCATGGGCGGAGATGCATACGTCCAGCTGTGCGCAAGGGTCCTTCCGTCACTGATGGGTGCATTTGATGTCGGAAGCTTGACGGAGGAGAATGCCTTGTGCAACTTTGCTGCTGATCTCCTCGCTGTGCTTGCTGAGCACGGACCAGAGCCACTTCCCGCTGGATTTGTTGCGACAACCATGCCGAAACTCACACGAGTCCTTCTGGGCTCCACCGATGAGGAGCTGCTGAAGTCTGCCACGACTGCGGTGAAGAACATCATCTCGCATGATCACCAACAGCTCTTCGAATGGAGGGATGACACTGGAAAAGCTGGTCTCGAGGTCACTCTCATCATCGTCTCACGTCTGTTGTCTTCGTGCAGCGACCATGCTGCTGGCGAGGTTGGTGCATTGGCTGCCGAGGTAGTAGAGAAAGCTGGCCACGAGCGACTTGGTCCTTACCTAGAGCAACTCCTACGAAGTGTTGCAGTTCGTCTAGCTCAAGCAAAGCAAGCGCAATTCATCCAAAGTCTGACGCTTGTGTTCGCGCGCCTGAGCTTGAACCACGCTTCAGAGGTGGTAGAATTCCTGGCCGGCCAGGATATTGAAGGGCAGAATGGCCTGCAGGTCGTGCTAGCGAAATGGCTCGAGAACTCGATCAACTTCGCCGGTTACGACGAGATCCGACAAAAGTACGTACGAACCTCTCCGGAAATTGAGCAGTTCACATACGAACGGAGAATGCCTGTCGGAAGGCTTCAGATCGTTCGGAATAAGTTGAACTCCCCTCTTCCGCGTTCATGTTTTCACTACGAACGATTGCTAATTGTGGTTTGCAGTGTCATCGCTCTTTCAAAACTGTACGACTTGAAGGACCCTCGTCTTGCCCAGGTGCAAGTGCAGGGTGATTTGATACCAAATACCGATGGTCGCATTATGACCAGGAGTCGTGCGAAAGCCAGTAAGTCTCTTATCTGTCATCATCATCATCATCATCTGTTTCTTCAGTATCGAGCGCTGTGGTTGTCATGCTGTGGGGCATGCTTGCAGGCTGCTATGTCATTGTTGCGACTCAGCGCAGGGAATCCCTTTCTTTTCTATCCATGCACTGACACTAGAATCAGATCCTGACAAGTATACCATAGTTCCCGCCCCCCTCAAGATTCTCAAAGTTCTCGTCGTCGAACTTCAGTCCGCCTCTGGCGCGCCGCTCGACGCACAAGCTGCTGCCGAGCTCGCAGAAGAAGACTCTGGTGATGACGACTGGGAGGATGAAGCAAACCCATTCGTCGACCTTGGTAGTGGTTTTAGCAGAGAGCAGTTGATGGCCTTTGCCGCCGAAGAGCCGGGAGGTGGTCGTCAGCGCGATGACGAGACTCAAGGCTTCCTTGTCGACTTCTTCAAGCGCGCGGCAACTACGCAGGGCTTCGCTGAAGAGTTTGGTCAGCTCACGGAAGAGGAGCAGCAACGGCTGAGAGACAGCGCTGCATAGTGAGCGTTGACATACGCGTAGTCTATACGGTTGGGTGGGAGATTCTCTGGGCTGTACGGACATGCGGTTGCACTCAAGGGTGTGATTGTCTTTGTCCCCATTTACATTTTGCATGAGACGCTTCACCGCTAGGATTCATAGATACGAAGTTGGATGAAGGATCACGATCGATAGATGGTTTTAGGAAAAGTCCCTTTTACCGATGACTAGCTATACACAAGTGTAGCGAATGTCATGAACATACACGTACGAAAGAGCTCCTTTTCTACAATATGTACCCCAGTAAGTTTTGGTATTTGGGGCATAGGTCATAACAAGCGAGCTTCTCCATACAAGCAACTCATTTTCTTATATGATTGTCGCGTCATATGCACACTTTGGTAATGGTGCCGCGTAAAATTTGTACACGGGTGGTATTGGCAGTGGAGACTTGAACAAGCGTTCGCATCTTATTTAGCATATGCATTGACAGTGTAGGCGTATCGTGGTATTTCCAGCCACTAGCTATTCTAACATGACACTATCAACCCTACTAGATGGCTGCAGGCACTTCGCCCTGTACCTTGCTCCATGGAGGCTCCTCTCCACGTGGATATGGAGCGTGTTTGTCGACTAGGTAGCACATATCGTTATAGGCCCTGTTCCAATGTGAGCCAATCTATCATTCAGCGCTCATAAGCTCAAGTTACGTTTGCCTTTCAATACATCCTGGAAGATGCGCCGAATGAATGACATTCATCTTCACACTATACAAACGATTGCGGTCATCGAACTAGTCCACCGGCTGACTCTTACCTATGTTCTGGGTATACTGTTTTTTGTATTCTGGCAACTTATTGAACTTGTGCCTTGCACATCGCCACATGCCAATCTCCATTTCATCATGTGCATAACACGCGCCGGCATCGAAGATGTAGATGTCGCCGTTTGAACGGTCTGTTCCGATATTGCCCTTCCTATAGGTCTCCGCGAATAAGCGATGGTTTAATCTTACGACCCTTTTCTTCGAGCACACCTAGAAGCCGCGGGATTACATGGCTTAGTACACATTCTGCGATAGGTTCATACTCTGACCAAAGACTGCATTTTTGCTTTTCGAGGACAAGAGCAGACCGAAGTAGTTTTGTGAAGAAGCTTGTCCCACTTGGATCCCAGGTTACTTCTTGGGCGAATCTACCGTGGCAGATGGGGATGTGGAAGCCAAACATTCTTGTGGGGGGTTCACTCGAGCTATGGAGCTTTGCGAGTTTGGCGCAAAACAGGAGGGGATCTGGCATGTTGTCGGTCATGCTGTCGGTCATGCTGTCGGTCATGTCAATGGAGTCGCATAGAAAGAAGTACGTCCCCGGAACTTGCCCCAAGTGTGGGGCTTGTGGACGAAATCTGGTGAGATCTCATCGAGTGATTTCGTGGAGTTGTATTCGCCTTCCATCATAATGCGGCCAGATTCCTCGGTGGTTATCTTGAGGAAGAACTTCTTCACAACGCCATCGGCGAGAAGGATCTCTAAGCGAGCAGTGACAGTCCATTCAGATGAGCCACGGCGGTTCGATGAGAGGATGGGGGTACCATCAGGGAGAGCAATCCGGGGTGTCAGCAAAGGATTGACGAGTGCGCTGTAAGGATTTGCCCTGAAGAACGGCATCATTGGTAGGGAAGTCACCATGACTAACTCCGTCTCCTTCCTTCGCAATCGGATGTACAGCTTTCGACATATTGGCCGAAGATAAAAGCGCAACACTGAATTTGAGGGATGTGAAGGCTTTTGGGAGTGTGCGATACCGAAAAGTAGAAGACCAAGGGTCACAAATAATGAGTTTCTCATTGAATCACCGCAGTGAATATGATTATGGGGTAGTGAATCATCACATTCAGTCCAAGCGCACGACACCTAACAATGAAATCGAGTACGCCTCTTACGCCGCACGGTAACTGAGTACTGACCATCTCGCGAGACTAGCTCTTCTCTACGCGCAAGCTGATACTCATAGTCTGGGTCGAAGTGAGAGTAAGAACGATCATGACCACGACCATGACAACTTATTGGCGGACGTCGTGAAGAAACATTCTATGATACCGCGTCATTAGCTCAGCGAGAAATCCTTATCTTTGCTACAAAGGTAACGAGGTAGCTGTGATAGATACTCGATTGGCGCGTATATGGTGAAAACCTTATAGAAAGGATTTGACATACTGCACATGAAAACTGTTAGAAGCATCCATTGTCTAACATCCAGTCTCACCTTACCAATATGGGGACACTGCTGACTACATCCTTAGCCACTGTCTGTCGTGTAACCACACATCCCCCTTGCATCTCCATGCGGTTAATTCAATACAGTACGCATCATGTAAGCCGGAGCAGCCTCGCCCTACCCCGCTACTGCACGATGCACAAGACAGATGAAAATAGAATAAAAAACACGCGCTAGAAGGGTGTTCGCATGCGCAGTGCATGCAGTTCGTTGCCCAGAAATAGTATCCTACCTAGCCATCGATAGGAAAGATAAGCAGTACAAAGGAGGGGTTGGCTTTGATGTACAAAGGACTATTTTGACAACCCCTTGCGGTACGATTGATAGGGATAGAGGAAGTGTTGCTGGAGGGGTAATGGATAGATGATGGTGGGGTGATGGTTGTTGCGGGCGCTTATGCGGAGTGACAAGTCGACACTGGCGGGTGGGCACGTGGAAGCTGGAGGGGTAATGATTGCCCTTGTTTGACGGAAGGTTGCGCTTTGGAACGAGATGCGATGTTGGAAGTGGGGTTATACTTTGGTGGTATTCTCCGTCAGGTTGAGCGAAACCTTGGAAGAGGAGAAGCCTGGAAGAGGATGTTTGCGCGACGTTGAGTTACATCACGCCTGTCAGTCATATGCCCCGTGTTCATGGACACCGGCAGTTTGTGTTGTTCAAGGTGTAAGTGCCGCTGAAGAAGTGATGTATATACGCGCCTATCCGGGCTCACCCTTCAGCATTCTTACGGCATTTCTCAGGAGAACCCCAATCATGCTGAGCATACAGCGCTTAATCCTCGTTTTCGCAGCCCAAACCCACCCTCCAGCAAACAGAAAAGTGCAGCTGACCGTACCCATGATGCAGATATCCATGCCTCTTATTCGTCAATGTAACGAAACCTGAACGCTAGAGAGCGGTATAGACGTGGCATGTCTCTGCCTTGAAATTTTTTACCCCTCCACACCCCTCAGCTCGTGCTCTTCGACGTAACACTACACAAGCTATCGTCGGCCACTTCCGAAAAAACGAAGCCAACTTCCAACAGCTGAGATCTCGATGCTCGCACAGCACGAATGATCTCACATTGACCGATTGATGACGATCTTGTGACGGTCTATCCATCTATCAGCCATCTCGATTCCGTTCCGGCACCAGGAAGTAACCCCACCCCGTTGCGGTAAAAACCTTGGAAGTTGGCGAAACAGTGACATAGGCAAAGGCGGTTCACGCGGAGTGGCAGCGGGGTACAAAGTGTATGTACCAGATGGAGGGGAGCACTGATCAAGTGGGTCTAGGCGGGGTTTAGTCTCGCTTTCGTCATGCCGCGGCTGCCAACATTTCTCGCTTCGCTTCGGTTACTTGGATAGGAGGAGTGGAATAGGGGACCGGTTCATGCATGATCGCACCGGCCATGTGTTTTGAAACACCGTAGTGCTGCTGGCCGATAGTCTGCGGTATATGTCAGGCTGATGCATGAACTGCTGGTAGGTTTGTTAGTGAGTCGAAACTAGGCATCAGGTGTTCTGCGAGGATTGCACATGCGTCCCAGATTCACATGCTGCATTGATGCGATTGGGAATTCAGGCAAAGTGCTGGCCCATAGTGATGTGATGGGCTTGCCTGTTTAGCGGAATGATGTCGTTTAGTTGCGTCGGAACGCGATCCGGCGCGACGGAGAAAGGCCCAGATGCAGAAATGTTTGCTGGGTCGACAAGGTCATCTGAAAGGGTGTTGAGGAACGATCGCGTTTGGTACCCCCGGAGGAGAGAATGCTACCCGTTCACTGGAGCGATTTCAAGAGACGAACTGAGTACCACCCATTCAGCCGTGGAAGCATTAAACCCAGAAGAAGGAAGATGCGATCCTCACCAATCAACAAATCAACACAAGGCAACCCAACGCTGCTCACTCAGCTCGTGACACCCACCGAAACCAAAAAGCCAAATAGAAGTAACTTAGCAGACGTCGTGGAGGCGATAGCCCTGGTTCCAGCCAACAGACCCGTGAAACCTTCCCCCAACCTCCCGTCTTTGTCATACACCCACCCACCCACACTACCCTTCCATCCGAGCATCCCGACGACGTCTCTGTACCTGTCGATCCCAAAACGACAGATGATGCCAATTCTGCAACTCATTCAACTGTTGCCTAATCACCCATGTAAGGATGCCCTTGCGCAGCGCGACTCGTATTATAACCGGGGATGATGGAACGCGACAAGGTTGCCTATCAAAGAAGTTCCCGTGCCCAGGGATATTGCGACGCCTCTTAATCTTGGAAGACTGCACGCTAAGGAACGGATGGGATGGCATGGAACTTTGCAGGAACGGAACGGAGGGAGGCTGATAACGTTGAGCCGCATATGTGGCCGCAATTAAGGGGGGCCTCTATTGTCGTTATACTGCGAGACCCTGAGCATGTTGCGTTGGAGGACTGCAGATTCGCTGCGATGCCGTTGTCGCATGCACTGCGCGCGAGCTGTAAGTCGCCATACCGAAGCCCTGGGCCTTACCCTCCACAAAGCAGTCGGAAATAGCACTTTGTGCACTCTTCCCTAACCCAACCATTCCTTTTACACAACGTGCGTATTATCCTGTTCCCTCACCGGGCACGGGTACAATATCAAGATAGCAAACCGCTGTCGTTCCACTCATCCAATCTCAAGGGTCAGATCAGGCCCCAGGCGGCACGAACTCATGTGCATGTCTTCGATTGGGCAAGTGAATCCTTCCCGCTGCCTGCTGCACAACCGCCACAACCAGCCATGGGGGCCAAAAAGCAAACAACATGCCTCACCTGTTTGCCTGAACCTGCAGCAGGCTTCCATGCACAGCGCTTCTTCTATGGTAAGGCTGAGGATAAGCCGAAACAGCCAATGAGGTCATGAAGATGGATGCGCAAGCGCCGGTTGGCTCGATAATGTGGTGATGATTCAGTCAAGGACTGTGATGAGTCTGCGACTCAAAGTGTGACAGCGGCTCGGAAGTAGGCTGGAAACGTGGCAAAGAGGGTGTGCGAACATGTGAAATTGGTTGGAGACGCAAAAGCATGTGTTCGAGACTGATCTGAGGTGCGATAGGGTTGATTGTGTCTCGGATGCCATGTGTGGCTTGCATGCAGGGGCCGTGGCTTTTGGAGATCGCCGCCGTTGGAAACTTTGATAATGTCTGAGGAAAAGCAACGCATGTGGGCCTGATAGGTGGATAGGATTGTGAGTCACGAAGATTTGGTCACATAGTGCAAGACATGGGAGCAGATGATTCGGTAGTATATGATGAATTGATAAATAGTAATAGAGTGGTAAGTGGGTATAACTAGTTTTGACCGTGAGGTACCGATCTTTCTGATACAGATGTCCGTAGAAATCTGCCAAATCTAGTGGATCAACCCAGAAGACAAAGTGTAGTGGTATCCCAATACCCCGCAAGTGACAACCTGAACACCATGCGTGACCAACCCAAACAGCAAAGTAACGATAAATGGCTAGTAAAATAATACAAATAAGAAGGGGGATATCATAGTAGAAAGCAGACTTTTTTCTGTGACCCGCCCAATGCGTGAGAAAACCCAGTGGTGTTGTACATTGTGTAAACGTGCAAAGCGAAGAAGGTGCAGCAAGATTAACGATTACGAAATGCAAGAAAGGGTATCTCGCGGTAATATCAAGTGATGCGCAAAGCAATGACGGTAATGGAAAGGGTATACCGAGACAGAAAACGCCAGCGCCAAAGCGTCGAGGTATGAAAGGTAGGAGATGCTAAGCAGATGGGTATCGAAGGATGTCCTCGCAGTTGGCATCGAAGCGCATAGACCAGAGACGCATTCCAGTCATGAGCTTCTCGGTCTTCTCAAGTTCTCGGTCGCGACCGAAGATGGATTCGACAAACTCCTTGCCGCTGTTCTTGCCCATGGATACGGGCTTCTCTTTGCCGCTCTCCTTCTTAGCGGCCTTCCACATGTAGTCCTCGCACACCTTGAGGAGCTTAGCGAAGCGGACCCATAGACGTTCGCCACTCTCTAGGAAGTCTTCAACCATTTCGTGGTTCTCCTTCTTGCGGATCTTGGGCATGGTCTCGTCGGCCCTCTTGACTTTGCCGGCGAGTTGGATGAGCAGGAGCCAGAGCTCACCTGCCATCTCGGCGAGAGGGGTTGCTGGGCCGTAGTGGAAGACGGTCCAGTCGTAGATCCACTTGCCGAGGGAGTTGGCATCGAAGACGGAACCTAAAAGCATAATGGGTTCTTCGGTGGGGTCCCAGTTCTTGTACGAGTAACCGGCGGGGATACCAGCGCGGCGCGCATCTTCTTCGGTGGCCTTGGGGCTAGATTTGGCGGGCGCAGGCTTCTTGGGTGAGGCGGCTGGCTGTCGGCTAGAGGCAGCAGAGGCACGTCGTGGACGGCTTGACTTGGG